TCTCATGCAAATCCCTGGCTAAGCGTCATATGCCAGGCATTTGAATGAATATCCATTCATGCCGGGCATACTTTCCGAGTTCATTGCATTTTCGCACCTCGGACTAAGTCGTCGCAAAGGGGAAAGGCGGGGGGAGTGAAATAACAGCACGTTACCTCTTTTCCTGCGACTTTCCCGCCTTTCCACCCCGAGGCGGATTAGGCGGCACACGTGTCCCTGCAACAGGTAACAATTGTTGCACTGCCCGCAGGTCGTGTGCCGCTTAACTTGGCCAGGCACGCGCTGCTCCGCCAGGTGACTTCTTGGCCACCAAAAAAACCTCGAATGCGGGCCACAAAACGGGGGCCAAACACGTGCACCTCTAATTGAAATGCAATACGAGGGCTCCACACTTGAAAACACCGTTCGTTCAGTTGTACAAAAGATCCACCTTTAACTCAAGAGGCATACATTTTTATTAAAATACACCTTTACCTCAAGTAACCTTCTATGGATTTGGTAAGCATTTAATTTGTTTACCCGTTACTTATAAGTTCGTGTTTAAAGAGGTTTAATACATACTTGATTTTGACCATATTAGTCTGGCAGCCGCTGAAAATAATTTCCGGAGAAGTTATCCTTCCTTTAAAAGATTGAATAAAATGTAGTTTGATTTTAATGAGTACTGTTCCTCATTCCATTTCTCTTTTGCTGAGTGAACTATTGCATATGTGTGACTAGTCAAGTGTAAACTAAAGTTTTAAAACGCCTCAAAGGGGTAAATGTCCCGCTGACATTGCTCAATAATAATGCGATTAGAATTGACAAATCCAATTTCATTGACACTCGCTGGCACAACATTAATGAACTGCAAATATTTGTCCTCTCCAAAGCTCCTTAACCCTTACCCCCGCCCCTTTAACCCGCTGTGCGGCACGTGGCTTGCGTTTCAATATTTGCATGTAAATTTTAGCTCGCCCAATCGAGTGCAACAAATCGCAGCTCAACAGCATATCATACTTTGCATATTAATGCCACCAGCAGAGAAAGAATCCAGCGAATGGCGATGGCGTCCAGAGCAAAAGTACTCGACGGTGGATCCACCGCAGTGGTTCGCGATGTCAAACCACCGCACCGTGGGTGAGATTTCCAATCAAGTCGCTATTAATTAGTTGGCTACAAACTAAGAAGGAAATGCTTAATGGCTTCGTGAGCTTTGAGTAGGAGGAAATATTGCAATCGTGCCAAGAGTTGTAAAATATAGTTGAATATTTGGGAATCACGACAACTCCTTCCCCACTAAAAAATAAAATATTAATAACCAAGGTAAAAATCTTGAATCGTAGGAATTAAGAGAAGAAAAAAACCCAAGACTTATTATTTTAACATTTCTATTACTAATGCATTTACAATTTATTTAAAATGAAATAAAACCTAAATGAAGTATTTCATTTAAAAAATAAACCAACAATAATTGACACATAACTGAGAAATTTAATTAATTTTAAACTAAAAGGAAAGCCAACCATAATAACCACTGTACATTGCCAAGGGCAATTTCAAAGCGAATGGTATCAGCTCCAGAGCAAATGCTGCAAATGAAAGAAGGAAAATTATTTGTTTTCCTCATTGAAAATCGCACAGAGTCTGCTCCAGGAAAAAATACTGCACTAGAAAAAATGAAAGAATTGCTGAATAAAATGTAAATGAAATTGTGTTGGGATTGCAAATGGTAATGGGGGAGTGAGGGAAGGCCAAGATAGCGAATTGATTGGCGCAGATTCAAGGAGAGGCAACTTGGCAAAAGTGAAATTTCAATGAGTTTGTGGCTTAAAGATTTTAATCGTCCGCTGTGGGCAAAAGCTTTCCCTAAAATAGGTAGCAAAATAGTTAAAGAATTTAAGAGCAGTCATTTTCAATAATTTGTATAGCCTTGAAAAATGTATATAAAAATTATTACCCAATCAAATCGTTGGAGAAAACTTTGAACCTGTTACAGACACTTTTTGAAATTTTTCAGACTTAAGTTTTGAGCTTTGGCGGCTAGCACTGCTGGCACTTAAATTGAGAGTCTCTTCGGGCCCCCTTTATGTTTTGACACATTATTTTCGCTTTGGCACTTCCCGAACGAACGCTCCCCAACCGGAGATCCAAGGATCCTGCAGCCGGCAAGGTTGAAAGGCGCATTTAGGACCCATTACCATTAGAGGACACTTTGCTTTGCTCGAAATCGACCATAAGCTGGGCCTGGCATCCTTTGGCCAGGGCATTTGCATGATTTTTGCAAGAGTAATAAACGTGGCTAGCGAAAAGATGGAAAAAAGAAATGGGGAACAGGAGGGGGAGCGGGGCCACCGACAATACTTAATGTCAGTCACGTAGCAGCAGGGACAGGGACACTTTGCGTCCATTGACATGACCAGTCCTCCCGTTAGCGAGCTCCTTGCCACTCCGCAGTCTCCAGGATCCCCGATGGCAGTCAGTTGTCTGGGACTCATCGACAAACTGCAGGAGCCGTGTCCTGGCATAACTGCCTTCTGTCCGATGGCTCGGCTAGTTGGCATGCAAAATGCTTTATGCCCGGCACTAGCACCTTCCAATTTTGTCATTGATTTGTAGTCGTTCCTGCACAGAAAAAACTGAGATCCACTTGGACTTGGAGCTAATTGGTTGCTAAAAAGAGATATAAAACAAAATCTATGCATACAGATAGTTACAGATAGTTGATAAATTGGTAATAATAACATTTTATATCAAAATACTTAAATTATATTTTCTCACCCATAATTATAGGTCTGTTTTATACTGCTGTTATTTTACAAAATTAATATGATTCACTATATAGATTTCCATGCAATTTCTTCCAGTGTCTCTTCTCTATTCCTTATCCCAAGTGGCAACTCGGAAAGCACAGATAAATGAAACACTGAAGTGGCATAAACACCGTTATCACTTAGCTGCCTTTTCAGTCCCATGTCGAACGTGTAATTCGATAAGCTTGGCTTAAAAAATGGCCATAGCTCCAATGAGTCGATACACTTTTAATAGTTTTTGCTGCTGCAGCTTACCGAGGAGGAAAAGTTCTTCAAACTTTCCAGCTTCCATTGCAAACTTTTGCGCTCCGATAAACAACAACAAAGGGTTGGGGGAGCGGTAGAGGAAGCTTTCGATCCTGCCGCTCGAGTCAAAGGCAAAGTGTTGACAGCTTGATGCGACAAACCCACCCACACACACACCGGCACACTCATACACACACACACACACACACACAGTTTCAAAGAAGGACCCTGAACTTTGGACAGCTCGAACGCATTGTATACAAATGCAGTTTCCATTGGCTCAACTGCAGGCCAAGTTTTGCTTTTCAATTCCGAACCCCAACAAAAACACACACACATATGGAGAGTAGTGGAGCTCTGGGTGCAGAAAGTTTTTAGCAACACAAAAGCAAGTCCCGGCAAAGTTGTGCCCCACTACTCCTCCATGGGATATTATTAGAAATTGAATTAGATTTCATTCGGCAGCAGGCAGAACAATCCCAGATCCACTTAAGGTGCAAAAAAAATTGCCTGGGCCGAATCCTTCGTAAGTTTTAGTTTGGAAAAGGGGAAAAAAAAACTGCACTGCAGTCACATCGAAAGTTTGCAATCAAAAAACTTTGATGCCTGCCCAAATTTGCGTAGTGGAAAAATAACCTTAGCATTAAATAGACTACAAAGTTGTTTTTTTAGCCTCGTTACCCCCCGCCCGCGCTAATCCTTTTAATTTTGAACCCAACTTTCGCCGGCGAGCAAGGAAAATAAGATGGAAAATAGCCGGGTGGAAGTAGAACCAAACATGCGACGCACTCGGCGAAAGTTTTTTAATAACAAGCTCTCCCCAAAAAGGACGAGGCAAATCCATCGCAGTTATCAACGAAGGGGGAGGGGAATAAATTTCAGCTCCCAACTGCACGTACACTGCATACATTTCCCGTTTCGGTCCGATGCCTTGACTTTTGTTGCCCGGAAAACCCGAACCCGAAAACTTTTTGCATACACTGTGCCCGAGGCGGTCAAACTCATCCTTTTTCCCCATCCTCTCGCAGATCGCCGGTGAAGTCCGTTCAGCGAAATGCAAATACAAGTTGAAATAATTTCTTTTCAATTTCCAGCCAAAGCAAGCACTTAAGGGGATTTTAGTTACCGGGAATGGCTTAGAAGTGGAATGCAACTGGCCATGAATTGGGCTCCTATAGAGCAGGGGAGCGGTGGGGAGGTGCCTTCGTATTTGTCATTCGCCCTCATCACTTCTGTGATTGCACCGAAATTTGCATAATTCCAAGTAAACAAGCAATTTCATTGGGAAGAACTGCGAGGCGCGTTGTCTTGGTTGGAGACGAGAAGCGGGACGCGGAATTAATAACCCTTTGCTACTAAAATTGGATATCATTTGTTTCTCAGAAGGCCCTGCAGCAAAGCCAATTTCGTAGGGAGCGAAATGAGACAAAGCGTTAATTAAAAACAAGAAAGGAAGCTGCTGACTGAATGCACAAATGTCGAGCAAAATTCATAAAGGCTAAAAAACATCATAAGACCATTTTTCTAATTAATTTTTCATACACTCACCGATGGCTTCTACGACAGCTATATATATAGTCGTCAGGTTTTCATTAAGTTGGATTTAATTATTTATTTATAAAAGATCAATGAAACAAAATTACTCTATAAGGCATGCTACTTAAAAATCTGAATAAAATTAGAAAAGTGATTGACTTAAAATTAGCGAATTAAGGTCAATTTTCAGCAAGCCCATTTGTTGGAAGTTTGAAAAGAGGTTATAAAAAACATAAAATTTTAAAAAACCGATAAAACTCTAACTTTTTGTGATCTGAAATATATTTTATTATGTTATGTAGATTTAAAAATATTTTATTACACAAATGGTGTTACAGTTTCAATAAACTTGTGCCAACTGTTTACCTTTTCCCAAATTCTAGTTTCACACAGTAGCCGGGAATATGTTTTCAAATTTGAACTTTGATCATTTTTCTTTGTACTTGCTTAGTACTTAAAAGTCTGTGCACCTGGCAGGAGCCCCAAATAAACCCGCGATATCGCATTGATTTGTTAATTCTGTTCGAGCAGCGCTGCGAGAGGAAAGAAAGTAAGTTGGCAACTTGGTGGCACTCGCGAATCGAGAGCTGCTTTCAACCGGGAAAGTTTCGTTACGGCAGCGATAAAAGTTGCCCCAATATATTTACCCAGGAGAGTGCAAATAAGTGGCACAATAAATTCGTTATTATGTTCCTACTTATGTCAACTCACCTCGTTGCAGCAATATTTGTGTATTGCCGTGTCAAAAGTTATCGCCAGGACGAACTGAACAGCAGCACTCCTCCGCTCCAGTTTATTTTTCCCCTCGAATTGTGCCATTGACAAGCTTTGGGTGGCCCATAAACGAAAGCTACGCCATAGGGCAATAATTTCCGCCCGTTTTTGTGTGCCTGCTGCCATGGTCTCAATTTAATTACTGGGCAGCAGTTAATATTGACAGTAGCCACAGCCTCAGCTTGCCGTTAAACCGTTTCAGCTGAGCGTAAACCCATAAGCCTGTCAATCGCAAAAGGTCGGTGAGCAGCACTCTTTTTCCGTATCCTGCCCTCTTTGTAAACAACTTTACCTAGAACCACAACAAACAAAATGCGACATTTTAACCGGCACTAGAAAAGCGGTAATAAAGAACGTGGGGCAAGTGTAAATATACAATAATTTTCTGGGATAAAAAGAGTGCTGGCTTAAATTTAAAATCGTTTCATTATGTAGTAAGAGAGCTTATTAATTTTTTTAAGAATGAAAGTACTTCAGGTAGCTTTATTCATTTGTTCAGCGTTAATACTCTATCAACCCATGAATACTTTTAAATGTGTGAGATTATCCAATTTCCTTTTAAAAGTTCAGGCAGCGAAATGAAATCCGTCATTTGCACTTTATATATCCCAACCCAACCTGTTAGCCATTTTAAACAGTCGAAACTCTTAAATCCTTTCGGGGAACGATACTGTTGGCTATAGATGATTATTTTATGGAAGCCGAAGCCAAGACCAAAATCCCAATGCAATTTCACTTCTTCGGTTTGCTTTCCCAAGCGACTTGGCAAGTTTTAATGGCCTCACTAATACATTTAAGACTCTGCATAAACTCACACCCACACACACACACTCCCAGGCACATATAGAACTCAGAGCGGGATGTATTCATTCGAGTCCTGTATACAAATAATTACATGGGAAAATATTTACATTTTGGTTTTGGCTTATGCACCAAATAGGCCAACAGTCGCCAGAGGTGCGGAGGTTATTTTTCGGTAGGTTTCTGCTTGGCCGGCAACTTTTTGGCCACTTCATATTTCATAAAAACATGCATTATGACTATTTTATGAAGCACGCGCCGGGAACTTTAGCAGTCAGGATGCAGGACGAACCCAGCCCCACCTTTCACCACTCTCTCCGCCACTCCATTCCATTTTGGCCAGGAGGAGTCGTCCTGTGTTTGCTAGGTATTCGTTCGAGTTGCTCGGACTGTATGGTGTACGTGTGTGTGTGTGTGTGCGTGTGTGTCCTGGCACAAAGACCCATAAACCGACATCGTTGTTGTCCCCTTGTCCTTGTCCTGGGCCTATCTGCTTTATGGCTCAGCGCTTCCAGTGCATCCAACGTGGCCCAAACAAAGGGATCCCACATCCATGGCCTGTGGGGGTCACAATTTCATGTGCCCTAAATGGCTCACTTCGGGACAACAAAACTTCAGGGCGGAGCCCATGGACGCACACGGTCGTAAATGCTGCTGCTGCTGCTGCCTCTGCTGACCTATCCTCCCCATTCGAGGGCCAGCCGAAAATTAATAATTCGACCCACTTTGAGTGGCTGGCCATTATTTGCAATCCTCGCAGGACCCTGAGCCAATATCCTTGCACTGCACCTGACTCGCCTTGCATCCCGATCTCTGATTAGATTATGCTTATGCCCAATATTCATTTCTCAAAGTGACGGGTACTGCCGAGATTCCAGCTTGTTGGGTAATTAGTTGATTACTGGTTCGAGCAATGGGCCGGCTAATTGAAAGGGTAAACTGAGCCCTGGATAAGAACCACTGGCAGCAGATATCCAATGGTTAACCCTGGGTGCTTAAGATGTATATATGGCCTTTCCTCGATTAGTAATCGGAAGGGAAGCTCACAACAAAGTTACAACTTCATTTCATTAAAACAAAAACATATTTTAGGATAAGATGTCATATATTGCTTGTCTGCATTTGACTAAAATATGTATTATGCTGGTTTAGCTTTTGCAATGACATTAAACCCGCAAAAATATTAATTAAATAGTGATTTTGCATAAAACCTGTTCTTTTTTTCTGTACAAAGCGATAACGTTTAAGAATTTTTTCATTTATAATTTCAAACATATACATTTTTTGTTTGTACAGTGTACACTTCCCATAAATATGTGCAAAGTGGAGTACGTCGTACTTATTTTCTTAACCAACATCACTTAAACAATCTTTCTGTACTTATGTACATTTGCTTCAAACACTGCCACTACAATATTCATAACATAAAAGGTTTTCTTTGGACATCGCACTTTGTTGACTCTAAATCTAAGGGATTAATTTTAACTATTACATGTGAATATTGTCTTAACAGCCTTTTCTTGCAATTGTAAATTCCATTTTCCAATTATTATTTTCAATCACCTAACTACTATTTAGAATGCATTATCCGATGATGGAGAACATCTGGCTGAAGTTTATGGACTGGTTCAGCGTGATGATGAATCTGGCCGAGGACTCGAGGATTATGATGATGCTGATTAGCTGCACGATGGCATTGGCTTTAATCCTGAACGTCCAGTCGGGGAGTACTATTTTTCGGAATTTGATCAATGCGGGTGTAGAAAGGAAGCTAAAATCGATGCTGGACAACCAGCCATCGCCCATTAACATTGATCAGAATAAAGTTATCAAGCGAGAATTGGACTTTCCCTTGAAGTGGAAGCACTACAAGGATATCCCGATGGCGGTTCTCCTTGAAAATAATGGCACCACGGTGATACTGCGTATATTTGGTTCTCCCAACTTTTTGCCCGTCCTGAGTGGAGGAGACTTGCTCGGAAAGTACCAGTTTGTGGAGGCGATTTTTAAGTGGGGTGTCCTGGAATCCGAGCACTCGATTGGAGGTGGCTTGGCCAGTCTGGAGATGCAGGCCCTGCACCGATGTCCCAAGCAAAAGGGACCCTGGGAGTACCTCACCATTTCCTACTTGTTCAAGCTGTCTGAAGTCAAAAATGAACGAATCAAGCTGGTCACCGATCATCTGAAATGTATCCAACAAACAGGATCTTCGATTGAGCTGCCTCCTTACCGATTGAGCTCACTTCTTCGCCCATTCAGCGGGAGCTACTACACTTATCCTGGCACCTACGACAATGGCGATGTAATACTGCCCACCACTTGGATAATAGATCCCCAGGTATCGCACATCAAAGCGGATCAGTTGGCCCCTTTCAAATTCCTCTGCGGAAAGGATGGCAGTCGAATCTTCACCAATTCGCGGAATAAACAGCCGCAGGGCAATCGCGTTGTTCAGTTTTGTTATTGAGACGCACTTGTAAACTAGTAACTATTGGTAGATTTTGAATGCGAACAATATTCAAGTTACCAATATCGTATTTCTTTTATTAAAACATGACAAATTATTCCAACATAGTTGTTTTACTTTATAATTTTAAAACAGATGGTCGTTTAATATGTTCATAAGTTATTTTACAGAAATTGCTTTTTTAAATATGAACTTTTCAATATTGCACCTGCAGTATTATGAAAAAAATGGTTCCGATAAAAAAGAAGCTTGCCGACGTGCCTCAAATAAACCGCCTGAATTGAAAATCTCTGCCTTTCAAAGTAAAAACTTTAAAGGCGACGTGCATGGAAATCCGGTGAGCCGGAGCGTCCTCGTTCCTCGAGGAGCAGTTGTGCAGTGCCATTCGTGATTTGCACCCCATGAGCAGTCCATCAGCCTTTGACTCCGGATCCCGGCTCGACTATTTGCCTATTTGACCGACTGTCTGCAGGTGCAGCCAGGCAAATAGTCAAAGGGCAAAAGGGAGAATGCTGGCCGAGCACGAACAACCAACCCAGCCAGCCTGGGGAATTTGTTCATTTCGTTCCGGCTGAGGAAAAAATGGGGGAACGAGATTGCCTTGCAGCGGCAAATGCTAAAACAGTTGCGAAAATTGTCGAAATTAATTTTCAATAAACGCCCGCTGGCCAAAAAAGGCAATCGAATACTGATTGGCTAAAAAGTTCCTAGGAAAGCGCTTACCAACCTGAACTGACCTTTCATGCCAGAGGAGTAAATCGGTGAATTCCGGCTTACAGCAGGGGAGCTGAGCTGCTGGGGAGCCTGGCATTCGCTTATTGACTGGCTCAGCACCCACAACCACCGCAAGAGGATGGATTCGATGGGGGAAGAGGGGAGCCTGCATAGTTGGCTACTTCAAACGCGGCGGAAATTGTTCCTGGCTACGGAATTCCTTCGCACGAATATCAAAAGGATTAGCCAGGGTTTCAGGTCCAGGCGGCTAAGAAAGTATATACTATTTCCATCGCCCTTTGCGCCACCTTGTCGCCGGCAGTCATTCTCAACTGGAAACTCCTATTGCGATTTATTTCAGGCGTAAAACCGGCCAAGGAAATATTTGCGGCAAAAGTTTAAAATAATTGTTGATGTAACGAACCATATAGAGTCGGTGGGCGTGGCACAAGGAGAAACAATGGCCCGGCAAAGGAGGCGGTTTCAGTTGTTGAAACTGAAACTGAGGCTGAGCCTGGCGCACAGGACAACCAAATAGTTTTCGCCTGGGAATTTGTTGCAAGTTGGGCCCGGTTTCGTTTACATATATAAATATGGAAGCTCCCGGTGGCTGTTGTTTGCGAGTGGCCACAATTCCAGACCAAATGCCAAATGGAACCATCCAACAGGGTCCAAGCCATCTTTGCCGCTTAGCCGTTAGCAGTTTGCAAGTCAAACAATTAAAACAAGCTTCAAACAATTTCCATTTAGATGCGAATAACAAGTTGTTCGTATACTAGATGCCCATGTCTGGGCGACTGAGGCGATGACGGCTGAATTGCGACAAGTATAGTCTTACTATCAATCGGGTAGAGGTAGTAAACAGAACAGAAAGCAAGCCAACAGATCGGAAGACTCGCTATTTATTTAAATGAATTACAAGCTTTTTTATAGTGTTTACTCAAAAAGTCGTTTGTTGCCGCTTAGTCTGAGCTCAAAATGAATGAGCTACGATTGTCGCATTTGTTTAATTTGTTCGGATAGAACCGTTAAGGAATGTTTTGTTTATTTACTAATTGTTTATTGTGCTTTAATTACCATTAATTCGCACCTGTCGGACGACTTAAACACTCAAAAAATACTTGTTTTTTACCCCGGCAGAGAATATTATAATTTTGTACACTAGCTTGCAATGCAGGGAGAATCTTTATATTCATATTATTTATTATTTTAAATCAGTATTTTCCATTGCAGGTAATCAATCTATAAATCAGAGCGGAATCAGACAACGGTTTCCTATATCAGCAATATAAGCTATAGCTTATAATATTTATATATATTATTCAAGATCTGAGAATATGATCTTTGTTCGGACAATTAATTTAAATTATTTCTTTCGTTCATTGTTATCTTTATGTCGACAAATCTTCAAACCTATTGTTGTTGGGCTTAAACAAATTATTTTGACCTAATGCCAGTTCGAAGTCGAATTGATAATTATTAAATATGAATGTTTATTTTTTTTTAAAAACTCTTGGGGAGCTAAATAATAAACACAAAATTGGTACATTTAATTTTTTTTATTTAAAAATCCAAGTGGTTGGCACATAGAGTTTAAGTTCTGCTTGGTTTCTAACCAGTGCGAATGTACTGGGTGTCGCCGGTCTGGATGAGCACAGTTCCAGCTGTAATATTATTAATTATAATACATTAATAATGCACTAGTTTAATTATAATATGGGTAAACTTACGTTCAGGAACGGGCTCGGCGTTGGCGAGGGCAGCGAACATGGCCAGGAGAAGGGCGGCGGCTTGGAAGAACTTCATCTTGATTTTTGGTGGTTGATTGTTGTCTTTGGGATTCGATTGAGACACTGATGCCCCACTGCAGTTTGGGAGCTCTTTTATAGCAGAACGTTCCCTCAGCGAACTGGGCAATTCCAAGCCCAACCTGGGGGATTGCACGGGTTAAAAGATCGGCTTAATCTTTTCCCTCGTCAATCTGAGATTCGTTTGTTGTTGATGCAAAGCGATTCATGTGAAGCGAGAACCTGTCTGGGTTTTCTACGCAATTCAATTAATGCTGGTTATTGACATTCGAGCATGTGCACACGTAGACGAACGACTATTAGAATAACTGGAACTGGGTGCAAACATCGCAATATGCAATCCAGTTTGCTGTGTTGACAAAACTCTTTAAGTGGAGTTTCTCTGGAAAAAAATACCGTAAATTTTTTCCATCGAAAAAAAGTTAAATTTTGTATTTACTACTAATATGAGTATAAAAGTGCCAAGGGCTTATTAAAATCCAAGTTCCTACAAGCTTAATTGGTGTAGTTGAGCTTTTTGCTTAAATAACCGAACACAACCAAGAAATATATTTTGCAAAATAATAAAAAAAATTCAATTAAAGGTATTTAAATGACTACCGCATATTTAAATATAAATATGAAATGATAAGAAAATAACTATGTATAATTTAAAAGATTTTGTAGGCTTATGATCAAACTGTCATATTGAAATATTTGTATAAAACACAACATTTTTTTAAAATTATTGGATTGACTTATTTTTTAAAAATGGTAAATTGTGTAAAGTTTTAACAATTAAAAAGGGAACTAGAAGGTAAATGTTGCAATAATTTTTTAATCAATTTACTTTCCAAATTCATTCTTAATATAAAGATTTGTTAGAACACATTATTTTGACATAAAATATAGAAACGAACAATTTTCAATTAAAATTAAATAAAATTAGTTGTTGGCTTAGGCCTTAATCTATATAAATTCACAATCGGATTTGTTATTGTGACTTGCTAAAAAATATAAAAGTTATCATTGTAGCGACTTAGCATATAGGATGTACAACAAAAAACAAATATTAAATTGTTTATTCCCGGCGGGAAGCGTTTTTACATTTGTAAAAATATAGTATAGCTTACTCTCGTATCAGCTGCACGCGCATTATCAGCCGAGAACCCGCTCGATTCCCAATCGTGACCCTGGGGGATTTTGATTCGCAATGGAAATTCCTGATTTCCAATACCCCAACTGGCGCTCACCACATCGATTCAGGCTATAAAAGCGTAATCCCCACAGATTGCTATTCAAAGTAGAACTTGAATTCACTCTGTAAACATGAACTGCCTGAAGATCTGCGGCTTTTTCTTCGCTCTGATTGCGGCTTTGGCGACGGCAGAGGCTGGTGAGTAAATAAACAACAAGCCTAATACTTCGGTTTTACTTATCAGAAATGTTTTATTTTATTAAACAGGTACCCAAGTCATTAATGCTGGCGGCCACACTCTGGTTCAAACGGATCACTCTCAGTACATTCGCAAAAACTAAAAACGCAACACAAATAATTGTTTAGGCCAATAAAAATGATTTAAAACGGAAAAGCAAAATACTTTTGTTATCAGTCTTTTTAAATTGGGCGCGCATTAAAAAAGCGGTCACACCGGAAAAATACCAGATTTAAGATGGTTATGGTTTTTACTTAGGCGATGTGCACACACTGGAAATGATCTCAGCTGATCAGCTGTTTGAAAAAAACAATAATATTTTTAAGCATCAATTCAAACATCGTCGTTTTGATAGATAAACTGTGCTGGTTTTAAGGTCTTTAAAAATAAGGTAAGCCTAAGACGAGTTGAGAAACAGATAAAGAAATGAAATATGTTTCTAGAAAGCAAAAGAGAAGCATTAAACCAGAAAGGATCTCGCTTTCAAAAGGAGAATCGAGTATCCCATCCGATCCTTTAAGTTTTTGAGTAAACTCTTTGAAACCATTCCGTTCTACAGAGCCGACAGTTTAATAAAAAGGTTATAAAACTATGTGCAGATATCTTAAACACTTGTATCTTTTAACACACTCCAATAACTTTATGAATTTTTCTCGAAATCAAATTAAATTGTCTCTGCCATTCTTTTAGGACCTAGTGACCTGACTTTTGAGCCGGCGACGACTTCCTGGCTGCTGCATCTTATCGCCGGTCAATAAATGTACATAAATGTGGCCGCGCCAGGACAAATAGCAGCGAGCAGGGAGCAGGAGGACTGGCAGCCACAACGGCAGCAGAAACAATAACAATAGGAAAGCCGCAGAACTCAACCACAACAAGCCACAATCGGCAATCATCAACACTGGCGCGCCGCAGACCGACAAGAAGGGGTCAGAGAGGTCAGGGCAGAGTTTCAGTTTCGGATTCTGAGGGCGCCAGTTGCCAGTTGCATTTTGACAACGGCAACGGACCAAAAACACCCGCGCATAAGCCATGACAGCTGTACGAGGACACCACTCCCCGCCTTCGCAGCCTTCGGGCGACGGGCAAAAACTAAAGCTAAAGCCCCAGATACAGCCACATCGGCCGGCCAAGAATCTGCACGCCCTGCTGGATCTGCCCGCGGCGATGGAACTGCGCCAAATTGAGTTGATCTATCGGGCGGAGGGTAATGCAAATTTGGTGCTCGCCTTGCCGCAATTTAAAAAAGTTTTACGTTTGCCAAAAATGATATCCAGCAGACTGCGGCAGGCGGAGCGGAAGGAGCAGGAGGATGATGCCCAGCCGGAAGGGCAACGCGACTCATCCGCTCGAGCCGGGGCTGCAAAAGGTTCGTATGAACACGCTGAAAAATAGTGCATTAATTTTACTTAATACTCAATGAATGCAAAACAATAATACTTCTTAGTTAGATAGTACTATTTAATGAACTGAATGTACGATAGTTTATAATACTTTATGAGTAGTGTTTATTTATTCCTTTCAATTACAAATTGTAAGTTAAACACAGTATTCTAGCTTCATCAAGAATCATAAATATAAAGATATTTTCCAAGTAAACCATCAATTTTGCAAGTGTAAGGGCCAGCCTGTTATTGTTAGCTGGTCTGGCGTACGTTTTCCTTTTTTATTGGACAGGAAATGGTTGCGTGCAACTTCAAACACCCAGACAAGCTGCTGCTCCATCTCCCCCAGCTCCCAGGCAATTTGAGTATTGTGCTTTGGTTATTGCCCGCTTGGTTGGATTTTGACCCGCCACTACCCATCGCCCACTTCCCTTTCCCTTTGCCCTTTCCACTACCATCTGCCTTTGGGAATCTCTCTATATCTCTGTGCATCTTTTGGCCATTGCATCAAATGTGTTTATTTCATTTATCCACATTTCTCTTGTGTTGCCTCGTGCTGCTGCTTATTCTTCTCCTTTTCCATCTCCATCTCCATCTACAGCTGGCGACTTGACAATGCCGGATTTTATGGCTTATATCGGGATAATGCGCCGTCTATTAGGAAATGAGTTTGTCTGCGGAGCGGATATTGTTGCCATACCAAAGGAAGACGATAGATTCTGGATAAACGAGCACATACGCGCTCAAAGACCGGGTAAGTGCACTGCACGAAAATAACTATTTTAATTTGGCCGTAACAACGTAAGATGAAGTATTTGTTACCTGAAGAGAGAACCCTAAAAGCAAGATTTTATTTATTCAGGTTTTACTAAGCTCTAAGCTCTGTAAACCTTAAAAAGGTTGAGTTCAACCAATGCATATTTGATCCACAATTTTTATTATTGTTGTGTAGCTATGGTGAACTGGAAATCTATTCACCGATTATTGGCTTTCGCCCACCATTCAAGCGCAACTCCAAGCTGACATTTTGTGGTAGCACATTTTGTATTTGATTAGCTTTTGCTGCAGTGCCGCCCATTGCCCTTTGGCTTCGCCGTTGCACTGCAGCCGCCTCCTTCGTCCTGGCCGCTATCCAAAGCCTTTTCGGAGCAACTGCAATCAATCATAAACGAGCGTTTTAGTGCTCCATCCCGGCTCGGCCAGCAGTCCTTTCACTGACGTTTACGATAGGAAAGATCCTCTGCTCCAGTTTCTGTTTCAGTTGCCCGTCCACATGGGACTGATTAGTGGCGGGCGCCATAGTCGTGGCCATATATCAAAATCGGGTTTATGCCCGGCAGCCAGCAACAGGCGGCTCTCGGTGCAGAACTGGCCAGCGATTTATCATTCACCTTCGCAGTCTAAACCAGCGCCCAGCGGCGTCTATATATCAATAATCGCCGGATGCTGGCGCTTGCACTTTACATTCATTCGGATGTATTCCCCCCACTCCCTTATCCACCCCCGCACAGCCCACTGCTTTTCCCGCTTTTCATTCCGTCTGTTTTCCACCCGTTGCAGTTTCGCGTCTGGATAAGGAATTTGTGGGGCCATTCGGCCTGCTGCTGCCAGATGTGACCCAATTGCCTGCCACGTTCGATGTTTTACTTGCCAATTTACAGGTGAGTTGGTCGTCGTCAGCTGCTCCTGCTCCTGCCATTGCTCCTGCTCCTGGAAACTGAGCGCTGAGGCTGCTATTTTGGCCGGAGCCGTCGTGCTGCTGCTGTCCAAATAAATTGTGTATTTTGTACAAGGACAATATTGGCATTTTTGGCCATATGTGCTGGACACGTTAGCTGCCGCCATTTCTGCTCCTGCTGCGGTTTAGCTTGTGCCTTTGTGTCGAGGCATCCGAGGCTAACAAACCCACGAATCCCGCCAGCCACCGCCACCGCAACCCACCAGCTGGCCATCCAAATTCGAAGCTAAACCCTGGCCAAGGCCCATAAATCAACGGTTCTTTGTTTTGAATTAAAGTGGGCAACAGTGTAAACACTTTGTCCGTGTTACTTGCAACCTTGCCCCGCTCCCCCTTCCTTCCGATGTCCACTGGCCATTTCGATTCGTTTCGTTTCGTTTGGTTTGGGCTTGTGCGGTTATAAAAGATGCCGAAATTGCTTTGAAAGTGCCGCCATAGCTGCAACTTTTATTATATGCCCTGTGTGTCCCGAAAGTCGGACGGCCAACGGGTAGCTTAGCTAACTGGAACCATATGTGAGCGCGGGGATTCCCCTGAAGGATCTAAGGGTACTCACCACTTCGATCATTTGCGACCGCAGTTTTTGTTTTTTTCGCCATTTTTTGGCTATTTGTTCGCCGTGCTCGGTGGGTACATATTGAATTTATGGCTTTGGTGCCAAAGCATTGACCGAAATAAAATTGCCAGCAAAGGAAACAAACAACCAGAGGAGCAGGGGCAGAAAAAAGGCCATACAAAGTGGTACATATGTATATACACAGCGTGGTCATAACTAACGCCATATTGTGTGCCGTCGAATTGCGGGTGAAAAAATAGGCAAAAAGGTGAGCCCAGAAAAAAAACATTTAATTGCGGCTTTAAATGTTAATTTTCAATTTCAAGTTGGGAAGCGCGAATGGAGAATGGGGAACTCCGCCCATGCCGTGACCGACCGTTGGCTCCATAACTCATCATACAATCAGCGCAACAACTTTTGTTTTATGTCACAGCAGCAACACCAGAAACAGCAACAGCAACAGGAGCTGGAGCTGCAGCAGGAACAGGAGCCGGAGCAGGAGCAGCGATAACCTGTCCAAGGACCCCAACCCGTGCGAAACCATGGTAGCTTTATTCATGACGGTTTCTGGTTATTTTTTTTTTTTTTTGTTGTTGTTTTTTGCTGGTGCACCGTGCTCGTCGCTGCATTTTCAAGTCAAAATGGCATCAACGCCGGGGCAAAAGTTCGCGGTACACGGCAGGCATAATATTTCATGGCAGGACATGCCGGCTCCTTCCTTTTACTCCATTTACCCGGGGCGCCGGGGAAGAGCACGAGCAAATAAGCGAAACGATATAATTTTGCAGGCAAAGGGCACAACAGGAGATGGAGCCGCTGGAGCAGAAGCAGGAAGAGGAGCAGGGACGAAGGACACGGCTGGTGTCCGTCGTCTGGGCGATACATATGCCATCGAAATAAAACCCAAACAAGGCTGGCTCCAGTTGGCAAGTGATGTCAACGATTTATTTGATTTAATGCCAACCGGAGCAGGGACAAAGCCAAAGGAGCAGCCCCAGGATCAAAAGGACGAAGGCGAGACAGAGGAGGAGGAGCAGAGGGATCGGGACAAGTGCCGGTGTCGCTTTTGCAGCATGCAACTGCTGAAGGTGAGGAGCGATAACGAAGGTCATTTTAGTTTTTCATTCACTCCTCTCGACAGCTGCACAATGGGAAAATCAAACGTTTGGGCCACTACTGTCCGCTGGATCTATTCTCCGGGTATGTCATCGAATCCGTACCGTACGAAGTCCGGACAATGAACAGAGGAGAACGGGGAGCAGGAGGCCGCTCCTCTGGCACGAACATCCAGTCATAAATTTCAATCTGCTCCATTTGCGTGTCCTGTCGTGCTTCATAATTCCAACACTTTCGGTTACTGTTTGCCACTCCTTCTGCTGCTTTAGTGTCGGCTCTTTTTTCCGCCCCGAACTGTGTGCTTTCTTTTGCTTTATTGTACGGCTGAACCCGGACCCGGAATGGTCCGGACCGCTCTTGGTCCACTTCAATTGCAGTCCCAGAACCCAGAACCCAGTCCCGCCCCACTTATTCGTTTATTTGCGGCCCGCTGTTTCAAGTCATGCGTGCATCCGTGCACAAAATTCAATTTGCTTGCGCTTTCATTCCGGTTTACCGCCTGCCTTCTGCCCCCTCCTCCCTCTCTCCCTCTTCCCCCCTTCGCGCTGACCCCACTTTTTATGGCGCCGGATCCTTTCCCGCCCCCCTTGAAAATTGTTGGCAATTCTTTTGCTTTTGTTTCGGGGCCAGCATCTTTCGAACGGCCCATATGCATATACATCAGTTTTAATAGTAATATTCATAAGTACAGCAAGTGACGAAATTGCTTGGTCTTTGCAAAATAAATTCTTAATTCAATGATATAGAATAGTATGAATATAGAATATATAGAAAAGTATTAATCAATCTTTCCTATATCTCCTCATCTAGTTTTAATACCATTCAAGTTTAACTTCAATCAATAGTTCATTGTCGGAACATATTTTACAAAGCGTTATAATTCTTTTAAATTGAAATGTGGCAATCGATCCATTATTATAGATATTATAAGAATGAACTACACTGTACAAGGAACATGTCCTCTGATGTATTTTCATTGTTTTTTCTCTCTTATGCTTTTAGTGCACCCAGTCGTATGCTCGATGCCTTGGATGCACTTCTCGCTTGCCCGCAAAATAATTTACGTGTATTTCAGAACGGCAATTTAATTTATGGCGATCACGCGAATTCGATTTCCTTCGATGAATTGCACTCGCGTGTCTTTCCCGGGTAAGTCGGGCCGGCTTTTAAATAAATACGATTTGGCTGTATACAAAATAAGACATAAACTTAAGTCAGTATCGATCTAAATGGACAAAGGGGAATTGAATATTTGGCGAGTGAAGAGTTTTGGTTTGATTGCTTTGAAATCATTTTATTTATTTGAAACTATATTTTATGGCATTTCAAATTGTCCGAGCTGCTAGTATAATTACTTTCTCTTCGAGTCGCTCCTTGCCTGACAAAAATTTCCATAGCTAGAGCAAGAAATCTCTCAAACAATTCGGCCAGCACGCAAATATTCAATAAATAATGCAACAAGCAACAGACAAATACAAATTCTCGAGTGCCAAATGCCAACATGGCCATTTTCCTGGCTGCATCCCCTCTGTCCCAATTCAACCTGGCTCTCAACTTTTTCTCAACCTCTCCACCTCTCCCCCGCCAATTGGCCATGGTTTTCCGTGGCTGTGTCGCCTCAACACCTTTTGGGCCAACGTTGACAACGCCACCACACCAAATGCGAATGCGCATTGAAAACGCTAACAAACGAAATTCAACCAATGCCAACGCCATCGCCATCGCCATGGCCGTAAAATCTCTGAAATTCTCCAGTGAAATTATGGTGCTTATAAAACATTTGCTGGTGGCCTGCCTGCTCAGGGAATACGAGGTAAGTTGCACTGAAAAAGTAAATGTATAGTGTCCTAAAGTTAGAACTTAAATGAGGTTTAGTATACAAGTTGACATAATGGAATAACCCCTTGAATAGTAAATCTGCCAATTGAACAAAATCTCTCGTATAAAGTGCTTAAAGCACTTTTATTATTAAAGAAAATATATTCGTGTGTTTTGAATTCTTAAAGCCATGTATGCTTTTTACAATGGTACAAACATCCTGTTTTTATCTGTGCAGGACCCGGATTCCGACCGAGGTGAGAGCTCCAATCAAAACCAGAAGCAGGAGCAGGAACAGGATCAGCCGCCGCTGAATCAGAGTCGCGTTTCAATTGCGGCGACGGAGACAAAAGCGGGAGCTGCTGGAATTGGCGCCGCTAATGTTGTCCCGCCATTTGGAGGCGGGTCCTCGGCCCCTGTTGTCACTGCTGGTCAATCCTCGACGAGGACAAGAGCAGCTGCTGCAACAGCCACGACCCAAAGGTACACAAAACTGGCCAGAATGGAAACACCACCAACAACAACGACAACGGCAACAGCAACAACAACAGGAACAACAGAAACCGAGGATGCAGGAGCAACATCAAGAAACCAACTGACCGACAATGTGTTGGCAATGGCAATTCGAAAGGATACAAAAACGGAAACGGAAACACTGGAAACTCCCAGCACGAGTCGAAATGAGAATCAGCAACAGAATCGGAATGAGCTTGCGAATCAAACTCGAGCACAAATCAACAAAGCGGAAATATTTCGCTTACCAAAAAACTGTGTGCTGCAAAAAATTTTGAATTTGCAATTGCTGGTAAAGGTAAGCCAACCAATCAAACTACTGCCCACTCCTCAGTCCGTCTGGATTTGTTTACTTTTCCCGGCCAAAAGAACCTTGGCAATTGCAGATAGTTCCAGGGTTTTTTATCCTTGCTAGTTGTACTGTAATTTTATGGGGAACTTTGTACCGCAAAAATCTAGGCATTAAGATAAGTTACCTAAGCTGATTATGCTTTTGTTGAAGATTTACTGGATTTAAAAACGCTTTTCATTAGCTTTCCTGTCTTTAAAAATAGCTTATACTTGTTTGTATACAACCACCCTTAAAGGATCTTTAAATATTTATTACCATCTGTTATGCCAATCTGCTTGCTAGAGTATCTGAAAGTTCAGACCGCATTGCTGGGTTTCTTCTTTGCTTTTTATTTTTCCCAGTGCTCAGGTGGTCAGGGGAGTTGAAAGTTTATTGGAGGAGGCGGCTAAATGGCCAATGGATGGCGGCCAAGTGGCTTTGTGCAGTTTCGAGTAACATTTCTTGGCAATTGCAGCGCCACTTCGACTTCATGTGGCACTGCGGCTACGCCACTCGCTCCCAGCCCACTTACAACTCGCTCCGGGGACTCCTTGCCTCCATGGAGGAGACGGGGGAGGAGGGTAAGAAGGCGGAATTCGAGCCCGATGAGCAGCAGGCTTACATGCTGGGAGCCACGGCACTGGACTGCTCGATTATGTTGACGTTTCAGGAAATCGAAATCGAATGTGAAAGCGATTGGCCAACTGGCCAGAGGTAAGTATTATCCCGCACAATGCCGCCACTCGCCTCCAATGGTGCTAATCGAATTCCCAATCTCTTGCAGCCCGGCGCCACTGCAGCCTTGGTGCGTCTCCCTGCTGGGTCATCACTTTCTAACCAAGCTGTGTGTCCTGGACCTGGACCCCAAGCCCGACAGTCACTTTCATAAATTCATAGCGCAGACACGAGAAATTGAAAAGTGCCGTCGAGCATTAAATTAATTAATAAACTTTACACCCGAAACTAAAAGCCGCACGCATCGACTGTCGTGCTCACAGAACTGTGCCACAGTTTTCTCCTCGATAGAAATTTAGTTGTTCCTTTTTTTTCTGCTTTTCTGTAGCTTTTCGAGCTCTTTTTGTACCCGGGACAAGGGTATGTTGGATTCGTGCGAGGACTTGTTACTGAGAGGCGGAAGGTTTGGCTATTAAGCGATTAAAGTGTCAGACATACTGGCTAAGACTCAGCCATCTTCCTGGTTTAAATCCATTTAATTGGCCGGAAGCGAAGTTAAGCCGAGGTTTTACTGATGCCCGGAAAGATTTTCACTTAATAACTGGGGAAACTAGATGGGGAAGCCAAATGTAAGACATGGTGTTTGGGATGCTTGATGCAGTGGAATTATTTCATAACATTTAAAAAGCAAAGAATTGCTGAGATTGCTTTAATTCAATGTTCAATCTGATTATGTGGTAATTCTTGTTCGGTAGACCGCCACAGTTTGCTTGGTTTTTCCATATTTCTGCACTGACTTTGTTGAACCGCACCTCTAAAAATGTTTTTTTTGTGCCCAGCTTGACAGCGAAAAGGGCAGCAGCGGCAAACAAGCCACAGGATACGCGCCGCTGTCCTGTAAAAGCTGCTATGCGAGGGTGTAGCTATGGAGGAGGTTTGTAGGAAGGGGAAACGGGGGGAGTGGCGCGCCTGAACACTCCTTAATTAATTTCCATGCGAATGCGGTCGCCATACGTACGCTGGCCAGGCGCCGCAGGATGTGTCCGGAGCCGGAGCCGCGGAACCGAACCGAGGAGCTATGCAAAGTTACTGCGCCGGGGAGCTGGCCCACCCGCGAACGCTCGCTCGCTCGGCCATTCTGTCAGTTGGCATTCACGCTTGGGACTAACCAGTTTGGCCGGCAGCTACGCGAAAAAAAAAAAACAGATCGAAACTAGGGACCAGCAACGATGGGCAACAAAGTTGTGACTTTTACGGAACAGGAATTGGACGACTACCAGGTGAGCAATCAATCAGGGGAATGCGACCGCAAAGCTAATTCCGTTTAATGCATGCCGCTGCTCCACGCATCGGAAAGGATTGCACGTTCTTCACGCGCAAGGAGATCCTGCGGTAGGCCATTTGTATTCCCCTAATAAGCCAAAACTATTCCATTTCATATGGCGGCAGATAAAGCACCGCTCGCCATTGTTCGCCGCATCCCATTGTTTGCCGCTGTGAGGCAACGAAAAGCAGGAAGCAGAGGAAAATACCCACAAGACAACCTACAGACAGACAGACACTCAGCACAACACAAAGCCCTTCATTTCCCGCCCTCTCACCCCGCCATAACATCGTTTTCTATACCCTTTAGTACGGGATTACCTTATTAGACCATATTTGCTGTATTGAACAGGATGGCAGAGAGATCAGGCTTTCTACCTCATTAAATTCTTCAAACCAAGATAGTGGTATAAATAATAACCTGCTAGATAGTTTTCAATTAAGAAATGTAACGCTTCGCTTTTGTTTTGTGTAGTAAATGTTCAGCTGAAAAGCGTCTCCGATTAGCTTTTTAAAGTAGTAAATGGCAATATTAATATTTAATCCCTTCCCTTGAGAAAGGGAATTATCTTTGCTTTCATTTTTTGTCAGAACAAAAATCTACGCATTCTAGCAGAAATAGATGACAAGGGTATCTCCGATTTTGGCCACCGAAGTATGTAACTCTATATTCCTGTTTTTCCATACGTAACAGCGTCCATAAGAGATTTCGTGAGCTGCGTCCGGACTTGGTGCCCCGCCAGATGACCGAAGGTCAGGCGTCGAGTGTTAAGGTTCCCTGCGAGTGCATTGAGAAGATGCCCGAGTTGCGTGAGAATCCCTTTCGCCGGCGAATATGTGCGTAACAAAAGACCCCAGTGCCCGAATGAGCGCTGCAAAAGCAAACCCAAAGCCAAAGCACCGACTGTCCCGCCTCTTTTTTCAGAGACTATAGCAATTTTCCATTTCGCAGGCGAGGCCTTCTCACGCGATGGCCAGGGCAATTTATCCTTTGAGGACTTTCTGGACGCCCTCTCCGTTTTCAGCGAGCAGGCGCCGAGGGACATTAAAGTTTTCTACGCTTTCAAAATTTATGGTAAGTTTGCGTTTCCACCGATTTTCAGTGATGAGAGAATAAATCTTGGGTACATCCCGGGAAATTTGGTAGGGGAAACAAATTGTGGACAAAATGCTGAAAATTAATGAAAAGATTGCGTAGCCGACTAGTTGAACAGGATAATTGTTTGATATTACAACTCAATGTTGTTTATATTTCTAAAACAGAGAGGTAGTTATAAATATTTTTCGATTTTTTTAAGTTAAAATCTAAAGACTAGCTAGACCTTAGAAATAATTGCCATCACTGGTTGCGTGGAAGCCCCAGCTCCCAAACTCCAACTTAGTTTGCCGCTCCAGCTGCTGGCCAGCATTTTGAGCCCTTGTTTATGCATTTCCGTAGCCCGTGTTTATTGTCTTTGGTGTAGTAGCCCCCGTTGCCTTAGTGTGTGTGTTGGCTCCTTTGTGTTTGGCCTTTTCAAGGGGGACACGGGGCGTATGTGAAACGTGGCGAACGCATCGAAAGTGGCCGTGGCCGCCAAGCGCGGCATACAAGCCGTGACTCGAGTTGCGGCAATTTGTGGCGCCGTTCCAGGCAAACTACTGTTGTTGTTTGTGAGCGGCGACTGCAGGGCCAAGGTTCAAGGACAGCCATAAATTCTAATAAGCATTTTAATTGAAATTTAAATTAGAATCTGAAAACGCCACCATAAATGGGTAAAAAGTTTTCGTGCAAATTGATTGTGCACTTGGCACTTGAAATTAATGGGCCGAAGTCCACAGCGAGTGGGGGCAGCAATCAATAGGATGCAAAGTATCTCTCAGGTCGAGTGCAGCACAGAAATTTCGTTAAACTAGTTCCGAAAGTCAAGCGTTGGAGGAGAGGCAGGTACACTTTATTTCAATGTGCATTATTAGATTGACACAAATTGAAACGTGCAGCAGGCGATTACCTGAGCGCCACACACTCTTCATGTGGCAGAAGGCCACCGGCGGGGCAGGAAGGCAGACGGGCAGGCTGGCTGCTTGGCAAACTCAGTTTGGCACACATCACTTGACTTTTGTGCAAGAAAATGTCAAGTTTTGTAAGCCATCTCCTCACTTGTTCGAACCGCCCAAAGACCACCGTCTAGCATCCCCAAAAACCACCTACTATGCCACCTAACTATCCCACCGCTGGCACTTGTGTATACTTACGTCTGGCATAACTTTGCAGATTTCGATCAGGACGGCTTCATCGGGCACGCTGACCTCATGTCCTGCCTGACAACAATGACCAAGAACGAGCTGAGTCCGGAGGAGCACCAGCAGATTGCCGACAAGGTAATCGAGGAGGCCGACGTCGATGGTGATGGCAAGTTATCAATTTTGGAGTTCGAGCACGTTATACTCCGGGCCCCCGACTTCCTCTCCACCTTTCACATCAGAATATAAAATTGTCGTTTACTGAAGTTGCACAGTGGAGAAAAACTAAACCATTCTGTGCTTTCTTAAAAGTAACTTATTCTACGTGTTATTACTATTTATTAATAAAATGTCAAGTGGGTTGAATGCTGTATTCTGTATTTCCAAACAAAGGTAATTTGTTCCAATCTGTTCCAATTCTAATTTCAAAAATGGAAAATATAAAACAAAAACAAAATGATGACCAATTAATTATAAATATATATTTAAGCTTTTAAGTTCGCATCTTCTTTAAACCTTTCAGACAAATTAGGAATAAATGAAACTATACAGCCTTGAATTAAAATCTTTTCATGCAACTTTTCAACTCTCATTTTGCATAGAACTTGAGCAAAGTTTTTCTCAGTGCTGGCACAGTTTTATTAAATTGTTTATGTGCGCTTTTGCATTGAATATACATCCATACCAGAACATTTCGCATAAAAGTGCCATCAGTGTGATTAAGCTGACTGCCCGGCTGCATCCTCCGGTTGTTGGTTTAGGGTTTGGACTCCGGGCTCTGGGCTCGGGTTCTGGTTCGGATTCGGGTTGTCGTTCCGGTTGCTGCAGGCTCCACGGGGCAATTGTCGTGACAATGTGCATGTCAGATGTCAGGGAGCATTATAAAATTTATAAGCCCATGCATGCAGTCGGGTCGAATTGCGCCCCGCCCTGCTGCCCTTTTTTCTGACCCCAATCAGACGGACTGGGCTGGATGGGCCAGGAGTGGTGTCAGGGCCAATGGAAATCGTTCTGCCCCGAGGACACACACTCCCATAAACCAGACTCTTATCAACGTGGGCGTGTATGTGCGCACTGTCAAAGTTTTATCAATTTTGCCAATTTTCAGCTTAAACTTGTTTGACATTTGAGCATCTGCCTGTCGCTCCAATCCCATTCAATTATTGTAATTGCATCTGCAAGGGATTCAATGAGCAGGAGGGGAAAATGTGGCAAGTGGACAATTTGGCATTCCTAAGTTATACAAAAAGTATGCAAGCCTCTCATCGTCTTTGTTATAGAATTTGATATACATGATATCAATTAGAGGTAAACTAACACTTCAGCAGTGGGAAAATAATAACTTGATTCTGAGTGTATGGCTCTTTGAAAACGTAGTGATTGCAAATCTGTTCTGAATTAAATTATCAACACTTAAAACCTATCAATTATGAACAATTTTTTAGTTTAAATCCTCTTTTGGTTTGCATATCACGTACACTTTTACGTAGTTTATTATTGAATCGCAGGCCTAATTGCAATTTTAATTTTTATTATGTTGAAAACACCTAGACACACCCTCAAGAGTCCTTTCTAAAAAATGGCGAGTATTCTGAATATTTTAAAGATTTCGATTTTAGTGCCACCGCATAAATAATTCATAGGCAAATCACGTTCAATTTTTAATTTAGTTTACTATTTAATAATACGCATAATTACATACATAGTAATTGTGTTTCGTTTTTTGTTTTAGGTTGATTTAAATTTAGGCTTAAACGATACAAGAAAGTCTATTACAAGTATGCCATAATCGTATGCATGTATATATAATGGTATTTGTATTTGTATAATTTGTAGTTGGTAATCGTAAAAGTAATCCATTGGATGCGTGCACTCCGAAACGATTTAGGTTGAGATTGAGCTGCTCTAGTGTCAGTTTGCTATAGTTGGGCTGCTCGTTTGATATTCTATGGGTTGTATCGTATGGTTAGATCAAGTGATAGCAACGGAACGGAAGTATACTGCCTATACACAAAAACAACAACACTTACATAAGAATAGATCTACTTACATACACTCCTAGGCATAATTATGCTTACATACGAACTAAGCGCGATTTCCGAGGAATCGCCTTGCCAAAAATTATTGTGATGCCTCGAGGATACTTCTCTAGCTACCCTCGCTTGCGATCTAGTTTATACAGTTTTCGTATACGGCAAATGTTACGTCTAGAGTCTACATATTCATGCGGGAATAGTTTCATAGTTTGCTTAACACCTAGCTTCAGATAAATCGTAAGTGCCTTCGCAAGCTTCGTTTCTCGTATACATGGTTTACATTCATTATAGTCTTTTAAGTTAATTCTTGGAAATCATGAAACAAATAATGCAAACACATAAATTGTACAATGCCCTAAGCCTAGGTTTTGGTTATCTTATAACGCTTCGCTGCCGAAATTTCGCAATTTGAATCCCCAACGGCCGTTTTGCATCAGCTGTACAGCCTGTACATCCTAGCCCATGTCAGGACCTCCGCAGTTGGTAAATCCGTAATCCGAAAAGCTTTCGAAGCTCTTCAATAAATTTCAGTAGACCGAACTGTGGTGTTCGTAGTTTGAAGCATGATGATGTAAATACGAGGGAATCGCCGTGGCGTTTAGTTCCGACGCCCGCCGCCGCAGCGCTGCGATGCTGTGTCCCCGCCACACGTCATCGTCGGTGGCGCCATCCGAAGGCGACTGCATGGACTGGTGGCAGAGCGGAAGTCCTGCGTCCTGTTGCTGCTGTGTGGGTGTCGGTGGCGCCATCTGTTGTTGGTTAGAAGAAGCTGTAAGCACTTTAGCTTAGACACGAACCACAACCACTTGCCTGCTGTTGCTGCTGATGAGCTTGCTGCTGCTGCTGTTGGTGACTCTGTTGCTGCTGCTGCTGCTGCTGGTGCGACTGCTGCTGCTGCTGGTGAGCCTGCTGTTGTTGTTGCTGGTGCAGCGGCTGTTAATATGAATATATATGGATGTAATTTACATATTTCAAATCAGTAAAAGCACATATAAAATACTATATATAAATTCAAATAGGTCTCATTCACTCCTTGTCCCTTAGAATTTTTTCCAAAAATAAAAAGTAATTTTAATTTAAAAATTTTGAAATCTATAAAAGTACTCTGACACTTAAAAAGTTTTTTAGCAATATTATTTTTTATATTGCATTCATTATAGTCGCATGTAAGGATATTCAGGAAGGACTCACCATGGGCTCGCCGTTCAGCTCGTTCTGGCTAGAGTTCGGCTGCGCGGAAAGTGGCGGCGGGGTCACCGACGAGCAGCTGTTCATGTTCGGCGGGGTGGTGGCGCTCGGCGAACCACTGGGCCCACAACTGACCCCGCCCACACTGTGCTGGTACATCATGGAGTCGCCTGTATAGAAAAACACAAAAATCATTAATAAAAAGCGGTCTTAGAAGTCAAAACATTTTGTCATTAGTTTACAACGATACAAATTATATTCAAAATTGACAAAACGAAAATCTTGGAAAGAAACTTAACAAATTTCAAGCCCATTTTTGTATTATTATGATTTCTGTCGGCTACCATCGCTGAGTTTCGCTTCAATTTAATTCGAATATGATTGATAAGGTCAATCAGCTTACAAGTCTGGCATCTATATATCTTATGATATATGCATGGCTACTTTTTCATAGGCGTTACTTACGCGGACGTTATGTCATGTCACCCAGTGATTTGGGCGGGCAACGCAGAATACAACAAATTAAAAAAACACATCAACAAAAAGTGTAACAATGAAAACTTTGCTGACGGTAGCAAGAGCCGAAAAGTAAAAAATCGACATGAACATGTCTCCAAAATGTCAATTAGCACAACTATACGAAACCAAATAAAGAAGATGAAAAAATGCCTTTGGGTATTCCTGAAAATTAAACGACTGCCTGTTAATTGATCGGGCAAACAGGCAACCCGGACCATTATAAATGATACGATGCGGTACAACCCATACGAATGCACAAGTTTTGGGGCTACCGAAAAAAAGTGTTATGAGTTCAAAGAAATGAGAGACGCGGACTCGGCGTCGTGTTTGGTCAATTGTCGGCAGAACTGGAACTGAAACCCGAACTGGAAACGGTTGGTATCGAAAGCTAAGCAAACAAATCCCCAGAAGCAAACAGCCACTGAACACAAAGCCCCAAAATTAAAAAAAAATAAATAAATAAAACATGGCAGGCGAAAAAGTGTCAACGCTTGGCTTTTGTTAGTCGCATGCAGATGGAAAATTTTCTGGCATGTGATGATCGCAGAGTTTATTTTTTCCTGGGTGGGGGCCATAACACCTACCCAGAGCATTGAGGCCGTAGTGCTGATAACTTCCCGCTCCCAAAGCGGAACCCATGTTAATGCCCGAGTTTAGGCCCGAGTTCAGCGAGGACGAGAGTGGCGACGACTGATTCAGCTGGCCAAAGCCTACAACCACATTCCATTTTCCCAATCCAAGAAAGCAGCAGAGTTAGTAAGGGAATATCAGGAGATTGGTTAGTTAGTAGGGAACACCTCTTTTATGGGGTTATTCCGTAGATCACTCACCTGCCGTCATGGGGTTAACGCCCACGCTCCAGCGATCTCCGCCAAACATTCCCGTCCCGCAGAGGCCATCGCCCATGGCGATATTCGTGATGTTGGCCCCGAACGGCGGAAGTCCGTGGGAGGGCAGCAGGGCGCCCGGAGTGCGGAACACATTCGTGGTCTTCTTGCGCTTCTTCCACTTGGCCCTGCGGTTCTGGAACCACACCTGCAAACAGAAAGGGGTAAAAAGTTATAAAGGAAATTAGTATATAATTATTGAAGAGTGCCAGCCAAACTATAAATAAAATATACTGCTTTTTTGTCGCTTCTGAATATTCTGAACAAGAATTCTATACCTTAAAATTGTATTAGAGAAATCTAAGGGCAATAAGCTTTCATATAAAAAATACTTAAATCTGTATCTACCTCTTCCAATGTTTCCTTAATTTTATGAAAGAACTTAAATCTTGTGACGGCTCTGAAAACTACCGACCAAACCCTCCAGGTTCCTTCCGATGCTGCCGCCTCCTGCGAACACGTTCTTAATCGAGATCAATTACCGCCGTGACAGTCAAAACATGTCTCGACACAGGCCACACACACACATACACACTTTCGCAGAAACAGGAGCAGATTTACATGCGCATAAATTCCGTATGTAAATTGCTCAGCCTACATATATAGGAAAACGGCAGTAGCACCTCCCACTCTTCCGGCAATTTGGCATCTTCGGTCAGCGAATCCTGGCTGGACCTTCGATAGGCTTTTGTCTTAGGGACGGAGAGGTCGAACCCCTTGTCGGATGTGTTCGCTTCAAATTGGCACATCCATATGCATAAGAACAGCGCAGCCGAAACAAGGTAGACACGTTGAGGTTTTGACATTTACAAGGCAGCACACAAGCACTCCCCACTTCCACATACTTCTAGTTCCATTTCCACCTCCTTTTCCCAAACTCAGGCAACCTTATGGGGCTGGGGGTTAAAAAGAGTTGCCTACTTCTAGGGGCAGGATGATTTTGATGGCAGTGCAGAATGCAAGGCATTCTCAGCTCGCAACTTTCCGTTCCAGCTTAATTTTTTTTTGCCTTCTTCGAGCGTTGCTCTAAAAAAAATGAGAAAAAAGTGCCAGCTGGTGAATGACTAGTGACATGGAAACGATTTTGCCAGGCCATCAGGCCTTCGCATCCACATCACTCGCAGTCGGGTTGACAACTTAACCGTTATACACACCAACCCACCCACACACACACAGCCATACACCCACACACTTTCGGCCACATATATATATGTATACGAGTATACGGCTATATAGTATTTATAAATCCCAGCATTTCGTGGCAAATCTTGAGCTGTCACCGACTGTCGGCGTCGACTGTTTCTGTCTGAGTGCGCCAGACTAATGGCAAAGGAATACGGCCAAAACATCGGGCCGAAAGCGAGAGGGAACGAGAAAAGGGGGCAATGGCAGTGGCAGAAAGAAAAATGGCAAGTTTCGAGCAAAGTAACTTTGCTTGTAAGGCCTTCTGATGGCCTGATGGTCCCCAGTGGGTTTGTCATATGTCGGACGACGACAGACGGAACCAGAACCCAACCAGCTTGGCCAGGGAAAAAAATCGATCTGAATTCAAAAGTAAGTCGGTGGCATTAGGAACACTTTGTTTTTGAAATATATCTACACTTTAAAATATTATTTAAATTTATAGGAGTCTTGTCCAGCAATATTGTCTCAAGCTTTCCTTTTATATTTGGAACAAACACGTAAAGTTACTTTAAGAATAAAAGCAAAGACTAAGGAACAAAGCTTACATCGCTTTAAAGGTAGTAATTGTTTTTGATTATAGTATCTTATTCCTGATACTTAATTTGCTTTTCTTCATGTGTACCCCTCTCAACCGAGCAGAACTGTAACTATCGCAGGTTGTTCAGGTTGGAATATCTCTGGTTTTCGGGATGTTACACCAGGGACGCTAATGTGCCAGATTGTGCAAGGGATAATGGATGGAGGAAGGGTGCGATAACGAAGGGGTGTGCACACACACACATACACCCTTAGAAAGGGGGTTGGGCTGTGTCGGCGACCTTGACTTGTTTATGTTTTTTACGTGCTTATGCGTCGCTCTATTCATTAACTTTTAATTTAATAATTTAAGACAATGTCTGACTGTCTGGCCTTCGCTCTTTCGCTCTCTCTCTCTCTCTTTCTCTCACACTTTGTCTTTCACTCTCTTTGTGTTGCCATCTCCTTTTGGCTTATTGAGTTTGGTAAATTTAATTTAGCTTGCTGTTTTATTTTGCTAGCCACATTCGTGCGAGAGTATTTCCCTACTCGCAAACACACACAAACACTCAGGCACACACACACAGGCATACCCACACACAAAGAATGCGAAAGGAAATGAGCAGAAGAGGAAGAGAAAGCCAAAAGTCATTGCCTGCTTTTTTGGTCTAAGGCTGCGAGCCATTAAATTGGCATAACGTGCATGACGTGCACGGCACGTAAATAGGCGTTAAAATGTCGGTTAAACAAAACATTTATTTTTTATGTCTGCCCGCATGTAAAGTGTACGTATGTATTTACAATATTTGAGGGTGTGCGCCGGCCAATCCCCTTTTGTATGTGTGTGTGTAAGTGTGTGTGGGTGTTTGCTTTTGATTTGTTTTTGCTACTGATTCCTTTGCGGCTTCCTTTCGGTTGCACCCAATTTGAAGCGTGAACCCAAACAAAGCATAAAAAATAGCTCCTTATGCCGCGTTAAATTGTGTGTCTAACGGTAATTTTTTAAGCTTCACCCTTATGCATAAATTATCAGCTGTTGAGTGGCTGAATTCTAAACGAAAGTCAAATCACACGCTCTTTTCACATCATTTTATGGAGGTGTTTTAGAATCGGAATGGTGGTTAAAAGGATAACTTCAAGTAAAAATGTTTCAAAAAATATCAATACTTTTAAAATGTATTTCTTTGCCCTATCAAACTATCGTAAACTAATAAAAAACTTAAAATAAATTTCTAATTTCTTGTTTTCACAAACAAAAGCTGCTTTCAAGATCAAAATCCTTTTTAAAGCAGCATTCTTAAACTCAAGTTAATAGCTGCATAAAGTTCAGTTACTCTGCAATAATTCAATATTCCACAGGAACTTTCAATATGTAGACTGCTCTACCAGACACACAAAAAATAGAAACCAAAACAAGTCGGTGGTCCAAAAAATTTCAGCCATATGTTCCATACAAAAGCATTTTCATGTTTGGACTTTTAATTTTCACTTCACGACTGACACAGACCAAAAAACAGAGCAACAAAGAAGGAAACACCACCGGCAAAAGGCACCGAACAGTGGGAAGGGGACTGAAGGGAGGGAGGGCCACTGTTGCAAATAATAAATGAGTCAAGTTCATGAAAAAGCAATTTCTTGTGGCAGGCCGCAGATATTAGCACCCAGAACCCGAAGTCCCAGGCGTGGATCCAGAAATGCTCACGAGGGGCGAGCAAATGGCAGCAGAAGTCAGGAATTAAGTATCGGCCAAATTACACGGACGGGGAACTACGGCTGAAAATGGGATAACAAGTGATTTGCTTTGATTTTATGGGCTGGTGGATGGTGTCCTCCTCGCCGAGGGTGTGTGGATATATAGCCTTATTATGATGGGGTGGGTGGCAAAGAGACAACGGCTTTTTATTATGAACCTGTTTATTGTGTCGCTGAAACAGTTTCCCCCCTCCCATCCCGCTTATGATTGCAGTTCCGTGCCCTAATGGTCTGTCATATATACGACCTGCCCGATGATCCCCTTCATTCCCGACTTGTTTACGATATCCGTGCGGTTCGTTATGCAACATTAATTGCACATTATGCCTAATGGCTGATTAAACAGCTGTAAGTATAATAAACCAGAAAGGCTGCTGGTATCTTGTAGTTGGTTTTTCCCACTCACTCGCAGTGATTTGCATGTGACAAAGATACCGAATCGATGCCAACATAGAAATGCACTTTGCCACAGCAAGCCGCACTTCAAAAGCCAATTTCAACATTATCAATCAGAGTGTGGGAAAGAGTCGCGAGAGCTGCCGAGAAATGCAATCAAAATTCGATTAGCCCCAATGCAAATATTATTATTTGCGGGCTTTGCTAGTGCACAGAGATCACAAATAGTCGGAACAGTTGGACACGTCTCTTAATAAACGCTTGATTGGCAAAGCCAGAAAGTGCAATAATATTTTTCGGCTCGTTTGCGTTGACAATTTTTGCTGGCCCTGCCGATTGCAGATTGGTTATTGCCCAGGCTCTCACTCAGCTCTTCTTTGTTGTTGTTGTTGCTGATGTTGTTGTTGTTGTTGGGGGCATAATCAAAAATCAATTGGCCAGGATATTGCTTTCCTTGAACCCACTCCAAGTGGGGCAGGATGTGCTCCCCCTTGAGGCTGCCAGGCAACCGAAATATAAAATGGCCACTCAACAAAGTCCACACCAAACTGTCCCCTGGCTGTCGGCCTTTGATGTCGTCCTGGTTTCTTTTTTTCTGCCGGAGCCGGAGCTCCCCACAGTTGACTGTCTTCATCTTCGGCATCTCGAGCATTTTTTTATTATCATTATTGGTCCAATCCCCCAGCCCTTACATCCTGCGACTGGGACTCCCGGCTCTGAGTGGTTTATGGAAATCGCTTTTCGGCCAATATCTTTTCATTCCTGAGCATATAAAAAATGCGTATAAATTCATAAAATGCCGTCTCGACTTCTGGCTCACACACACACACGAACGCACACACACAGGCGCACACAAATGCCAGTCGATTTATTTTATGTTATCCTTTAAATCCTGCTTTACGAGTCAGCCCCAACAACACTTGCCGCGACCCCAGAAAACCCCCAAGCCCCAAACCCCGACCACCTTCCACTTTCCCCCGAGATTGGAGCTCCAACCCGGCGGGACCGAGTCCACTATGGCCGTCTCTCTCCCACACACCCCGCAACCCACTCTAGCCGTCTCTCTCGGAGAAATGTGTCCTTTGATAGACATCATCAAAGCGGTTCCTTGGGTTCCCCGGGACTCTTTGGAAATGGCGGAGGCCGAACGCACTGGCTTGCCTGATTTATGAAATAGTTTTTGATGTTTTACGGAGATTTTTGGGACTTGTGTTTTTCATTTTGCCCACTCATTTTGTGGGTTGCCGGGGCAACTGCAGCCTCCCATTTTTGGGGGTTCAGGATACCGGGTATTCCGGGGGATGGTGGCCAATGCAACCCCCGAAAATATTTCGCTGCATTCGTGGAGCATGCGCAGCTAAAGGATGCTCCCCTCGAAATCGCTTTGTGCCTTCCTCACAAAGTTTTTCAGCCTTTTCCTTTTTTCCTCCTTCCCTTTTTGTTTTTTTGGGTCGTGGGGACTCTTGTCATTCTATCAATGGCAGCAGCATTTGGACCAGCTTATCCCGGTTGGACTCCGCCACACTCCCTTTTCCCCCTCAGCCTGCAAAGTCGGTCCGGCACTTTGGCACGCCATTTTCACACAAACATTTCAATGAAAAGTATCAACGAAATTGCTTTCGGAATTGCTTCATATGCCATAAACAGAATGCGTGCCAGATTTCCTTGATGCTCTTTATGTGCATTTTATGGAGAACCCAGCGCCCGATTTCAGTTCCCTACGCGATTCTCTGGCTTGGTTTTTAAAGCTTTCGCTAAATTTAGCCCGCCCACTTTATTTCCCCCCACTTGCCCCACCTTTCTGGTTTTTTTTTTCGTTGTTCGTTGCTTGCATATTTTCGTTTTTGGTATTTCAATTAAAGCTTAATTAAAATTTGCGATGCCATGGTTATATCAGACGCGACCCAGTCGCCTTTGGCCCGACTTCGAGTGCTTCGCTCGAAAATACTCGTTACAATGTCCCCGGCTCCTTGACCCCTTCCCCCTCTCCCTTCACCTCCACCTGTACCTCCCCCTCCCCCTCCCCACGGTGTTTTTAATAAAGATGCTCACTTTTTATGAGAATATTTCGTCTAATTTTGGCGAAATATTCGCATATTGGCTGGGGGTCACATAGGTCTAGCTGACGCACCGCCCACTTCTAGATCTCGTTCTCTGTGGAAGTCGGGGGACTATTATTAGGGGGGCATTAAGCGGCTCAGCAAATAAATTAGTTCTGTCTGAAGTCGAGGCAATAATTTATCAGCGCTCACAGTGGGAAGGCCGATGAGTTTTCTCTTGGTTGCGAATGGAATGGACTCGTTCTTAGTTCGCCTGCGGCTTAGGCCAATCGATATTCCCTACTCTTGCTGAATCACAAATCTTTGAGGTGGCTTGTGAAGAATGTGAATTTAAAGGAAAACAAAGCCAAGTCAAGAAATGATTAAAGATTTTAATTGTTTCTTTAATCGGAAAATTGTTGAAATTTGTAAATTTAATGGGCGAATAGGAATTGAAAAACAGGATTTGGTTGAGAAGCAATATGAACTAAAAGGAGATCAAAATTATATGATTATGCATTTAAATATTCTGAGAACTAAGAACGCAATTGTATACACTTATTTTTGTTTAAGGCAAACCATAAATTGAAGCCTAATAAAATGACCTTTCAAAAAACGTGTTTAAGGGAATTAGTTATTTAACTGTTTTTTAACTATGTATATTATTTTAAGATTCTTCATAATTGTAAATCATACAATACAAGTGCAAATTGTTGATGCTTTGAATTGTCCTTGAGATGTACATGGACACTAAAACTAAAGATGATATCTCGTTATAAAATGGTTGCCAGGCAAGGGATAAATTGCCCAACTGCTTCAATGCTTTTAGAGGTATTTCTTGGCCCAGGTTGCCAGGTAAATTAATCATGTGAGAAATTCATTTAGTGGACTGGCACACACCCAGCCCGAAGGCCACGTGCTGGGCCGTCGCCCGAACTTCCCCTTTGACCCCATGCCGTTGAAACAATTTAATAAACAAACCAATAAATGTTGCAGTGCTGCAGACAAAGCCGAAGCAGTGCTGTTGACAATGTCAGATCATGATAAGTCAATTTGGTGGGCCATCTTCTGGGTCACCCCCAAAAACTCGGACCCCCGCGTAGATGTCACGTGTGACAAACAGATTGTCCTCGGCAAATTGCACAAATGCCGCCCACTGGCTTTGGGCGGTGTGAAAACACAAATTAACAATTGCCGGGGTGCCTCCTGCTGGTTTTGGCTATTCTAATTTACCCAAAACTGGGAAAATCCGATTAGGGAAAGCGAAGAGGGAAAGGAAACCCCTTAAATGCTACGTTTATTTTTATTAAATTATATTTACTATAAACGCTGCTCCTTTGGTAATAAACACGTGAGTGAGTTTTTGTGGGGGAATTTTTCCCGCTCAGCCAGTCGGCAATACGTGAGCTTCATAACTTATGCACCTGCCCTGCCAAAATCTTGCTTAACCCCTCTTCCATATTTTACCCACACATATCGCCTTACAGGAAACATATATGTACATATGTATGAGGGAAACTTTGACTTGATTTTTGGGGCTAATGCCGACAAGCGCTTTTTGGGCATTTATCTGCGAGGGGTTGGATGGCTGTCTTTATGCCGTCATTAGCTCCAAATCCTTGTAGATTGATTTAGGGCCAGACGTGTGTGTGCATATCGAATGAAGGTCCGACCTTAGCGCACACACACACGCACATATGGTACATAGTATATACTAACATATTCCACGAAAGTGTGAAAATTTCGAAGCTCTAAATGTTTTATTTCGCCTTCGACTGCGAACTTAATTTATATGCTAATTTTATTAAACAGCAATCCCAAAACTAATCCAACGGCCTGACATCCTCTAAGCCGCAACGACAACGCAAAATCAGACATTAAAACAGCAGGACTACAACAACATTGGTAGAAGCGGATAAAAAAAAAGCACCAACAAGCTCGATAAAAGCCGACGGCATTTCTAACGCAAGGATGTTGAGCTCAACCCCCGCCTGCAGGATTTTTACCCCCTGGCAGGTGATTGCATTGTCCTTTTGGACAACCGGATCTGGGGCTTCGGGGGTAGTGGTTGGAAAAAAGCATTAACGGCCAACACTGATACGCAATTATTAAAACAATTTATCAAAGTAGAACACATCCGGCGGCGGGCAGGACGACGGCAGGATCATCATTGAGGTGTCGCCGCCTGAGTTGCTCACTCATGGCTAATTGTTTTAGCCAGAGCAGTGGCCTCCAAAGCCGGATGGCCAATAAGACAAACTTTTCGGCATTCATTTCCACCGCAAAACAATTCTCGCACTCAGCAGAGAAATCTCAGCAGATAGAAAGAGAAAGAGCCGAGCAAACCGGAAGCGGAAGCTTAAACACAAATTTAATGAAGCAGTAAATTCGATTGTCGCATAAACAAAGCCCTCCCGCATGCAAAAAGGACCTTCGCGTTGGTGTGGGTGGGGTGGGGTGGCGAAAGAGAGACAAGGATAATGGCAGCAGCACAGGGGAGCTGTGCCAGCCACAAAAGGATAATGCCCATTGTGTGTGTGTGTGTGTGTGGAACGAACTTTGCTGGGGAAATGGAAGAGCATCCTGGGGAGAGCCTGTATGTGTGTGTGGGTGGCTGAATGCCCGACTAAATGTGACTTTATGTGCTTTAATAAAGTATAATTTTGGGCGCTTAAATGGCGTTCGGCGGCGACTTTCCGCCCAGAGCCTCGTAAACTGTTGCAAGCTGACAAAGAGATTCCCCCCAACTTTTCGGCTGCAGTCCAAAACCCAAATCCAAAACCGTCCGTTGCGGTTGTGTGCAACACAAGTGAAATGTCATGTCGCTCCTAAAACGAACTGAGCCCCGAATTCCGACAGTTTTGGGCAGTGACAACTGTCGAGCCGCAGGACAAACCACGCAAAGTTAGCATACAGAGTGAAAAATTAAATAACTAACTAAATATGAAAACATTACGACTGGAAAAATTCATGTTCTGCAGATTAAGTTAATTTTTATGAACACACTGGATAAGCAGTACATCTCTAATTCTTATTAGAGCCTGATACATAAAAAGTTGATTTTGCAAGTATTTAAATAATTTGTTTTCCTGTTTCGTACATTCCTCTATTAAAACCAATTAATATAAAACCATCTTTACCAAAGAAACATTATTTATCTATATGAAGGGGCTACCATTTAAAATCAATAAAATGCATTCTAATATATGAAGTTATAAAAGTTGATTGCTAATCCTACGACCATATTCATTTAGTATTTATTCATCACAGACCACTGGTTTTTATTACTGTATTGAGATTTCCTTTTCTGAACTTAATATTTTATTAAGCCAATGCCCAAAGTTTTCCTTAAGTTAGCCACCACATTGCTGTTGAAAGTTTCTCATATTGGCAAGTTAGAAATCTATTCTGAGGTGAGTGTTTCGAGCATGCAATAACCAAGGCATGACTGAAATCCTGTGGCTGAATATCTTGACTCTCGCTAATTACGCTCAAAGTAGTATATATTTGTTCCCCTTTTTCGAAGGATTAACTCACCTGAACGCGGGACTCTGTGAGTCCGATCCGCATGGCGATCTCCTCGCGCATGAAGATGTCCGGATAGTGGGTCTTCGAGAAGCAGCGCTCCAGCTCGTTCAGCTGGGCGGGAGTGAAGCGGGTGCGGTGGCGCTTCTGCTTGTTTTTATCCAGGTGCTGGAAGAGAGAGACACGGCCAAAAGCGAAGGGGTAATGAGTGGGTTGACCATCGCGATGGGCTCTTAGAACACTGACGAACTACCAGACTAGGAATGCATACTACGCACTACGTTAGAGTTAACGGATTACGGATTACGATCTATGAAAGTTATAAAGTTAAGACTAGGATAGGAGTTCTACGGTTCTAAGTATGGAAATCAAAGTACACTTACTTTTGTTTATAGTTTACGGATATGATTCATAAGGTACGAATATGATTCATGGCACATTTAATTAGGTTCATTACACAATTCAGAACACACACATTCACGTTTTTGGAAACAGATTTTCATTGGCATTTTCGTTTCGGATCGAATTTCGGATCGAATTGGTTTGGTTTGTATTTGATTTTTGGATTTTTTGGCATAGCAGAGTAGAATTTGAAGGAAAAAATAAACATCGAAAAGAACATGGATTATTAAAAAAGTTTCGTATCAACTAGGCGCTATATCTCATCTCATCTCCTCTTACTAGGACTCTTTTTCTCTCTCTTTCTCTCTATTTATAGCGCTGTCCTGCTCACCTGATCCTGTTGCTGCATGTTGTTGCTGTTGCTGTTTCCGTTTCCGTTGTTGTTGCTGTTGCCGTTGCCGCTGTTTCCGTTTCCGCTGCTCAGCGCATTAGAGTTGTCGCACAGTCCGCCGGAAATGTGCAGGCGTGCCACCCCACCGCCCACTGGCACTCCGCCGGCAGATCCTCCGCCCGCTCCGCCGCCGAGATCCGCCAAGTTGGGACCTACGGGCAGCTGGCCGAAACTGTTCACGCCCGCGTGCAGCGCCGTCAACGCGGCCTTGGGCAGGTCACAATCCTTGGGGCCTAAAAAGGCGAACATTTTGGAGTTTACTAAAAGTTATTGTATGTGGTTTAAGGATGCTAAGCTTCTACAATGTGGATATATGTCACTTGGGTTTAAAATTGAACTAAATAAACATTAAGTCATATATTTTAAAAAGGTTGGATCTTAAGAAAGGATCTTAACTAAGGAGCTTAAGGTATACCGGAGTCCTACGTCCATACTTGGTTACTTAAAATTTGTAATATTTTATTTTAAAATCTTCCATAAATTTGTTATTTAATTTCAAATAGTTTCTCCCATCAGGTTGGCACTTTATCACTTTTCATAACCATCGCAGTCGACGTGGAAAAACATATTACTAGTCTCGACTAATCTCTGTGAATTTTTAACATTTCGATTTATATTTTTGCACTGCACAATGATTTTCTTCATGATGGTATGGTGCCTGGACCAAATAACCTTCGGTTTGCATTGGGTGTTTTGGAATACTTTTAAAATAATGCTGATGCAGTTGGCTTTCTTTATTGTTATACTTGCCTCTCAATATTTTTGGAAAAAGTATTCATCGAACTCGGATGCCACAAACGGATACAAAACAGCCAAGGTGATGCCAAAGCGCCTGTTTTTGGCCAGCTCTAATGCAAATGTAAGTGGATTCTTATTGGTTTTGAATTAATTAGATTTAATAGTGCCACTAAAATTCACAGGGAGAACGTCAAGTCTGAGGCTCAAATAGCTCCGCACACACGCACTCGAAGTTGGCAAATATTATTGAATTGTTGATGAGCCTCTCGCAATGAATTATAATTCACTTGTTCCGCTCAATCGGAAAGCGTTTGTCTTTTAATTAGATTTTCGAACTGAGGACCGGTGAGCTAACGACCTAGAGGATTGCTCAGCACGAACTGCGGCGATCGGATAAATTGAATTTTTCAACAACCTGTCATTCAGAAGGAAAAAGATGCCAAAAACAGTAACTCTACGTGAGAGCAACTCGACTGAGGTGCGACACTCACACAGATTCAGGTGTACTATACGTAGAGATACAGATACAGATGCACAACCCTAGGCCGAGATACAGATACAAGCACAGAGGCGAGATACAGAGAGAGAGCCGCCAAGTGCTAACCCCTTTCCATCATTTCCTACCTCCAAACTAACCTCACTTGACTACGTAACGTATTTCTGTTTCTGTTTTTGCTTTGGTTTCTGTTTTATTTCCATTTTTATTTGTACGTGTGTGTGATGGTTGGTATGGATTTCGGTTGTGGGCAGGGGTCTGCGATTCACGGGAGAGTCATCTTCATCGTACGCCTGGAATTTTTAACATGTACGTGCGAGAGAGACTCCGTCTCAACTCTTTCTTATTTTTTTTTCTATTTTCCTTTTTTGATTTTTTTCAACCCGATGATTCCCTTTGTTGGCCGAGCTCAACTGTTGCTACAAGCCAAACATTTACTCATCGCCGGTTGATGCGAACTCTCGTCCCCGAGTTGTAACCTTTCGGGGGACCTGCCCGCGATGCCGTCATGTTGGCCCAATCGAATGGGTCCAAAGTGAAGGTGTAGGCGGCAAGTGGCAACTGGTTACTGGCCTTGTGCAATTTCCTCTGAAAGCGAGTCCGAAATGCAAATCGCGACTTGGCGGAAGGCCTCCTGAAATCACATCCTCCTCCTCCTCCTCTTCCTTCCCATCAGTTGCAATCCATTTTAATTTTGTCTTAGGTAGACAACACTCTCGATTGCCGACTTTGATGTCGACGGTGGCGGGAATGGCGGCTCTCAATGATTTTTATTGTTTTCGAGATGGACTTGTTAAAATTTCGGCATACATCACAGGCGGATGCCAGAAATCCGGAGCGGCGGTTCAACCTCCCGTCGAATACAACAACAGGTGAACGAGTTCTTGGGTCGCGGAGACGCCACATAAAATCATAAATATAAATATCAACAAATAAAAGATATTGAGTTCCTCCAAGCGACATTCCCTGAAACAGGCTTTTGTTATTCTTGTTGTTGTTGTTGTTTTTGTTGAGCAGTCGCGTTTTAAAGCGCTGCCCGGAAAGTGCTAATTTTTACACATACACCCAGTGCGGCTACTGTTCATTAGCGATTTTCAGCTGGTGACGTCCCCAATCGGACACCACTCCCCACCGCCGCCCCTTCATATTTCTCATAGCCGTTGAACGGATTTCCAATCTGGTTGAGGAGAGCTAAGCCGATGCAGCCGATGAAAGTCGCTTACTGACATATTTTTAGGGCATTACGCAGCAGCACGCACAACAGAATGGTGGCCTAAAGTCAGCGAAGAGCTGCGCCAAACTCCGCTCGTGATTAGTAAATTTAAGGCGCGGTGTTAGGTGCGATATCTCCATCGAGACTCAATCGCTCGCCGGTTGGAAATTCACGCTCGATGGCAACATCTCAAACATGTATCTGCGACTGGGGAGATACATCGCCGCTGGTCCGTTGCTCCAAAGAAGTGCGACTTTTAACATCCAACTGTTCCCGCTTCCTTCTGTTTTTCAGTTTTCTCAAATCGATTTTCAAATACATATATGTGTGGCATAGTCTCAGTATGTGTGTGTGTGAGTGTGTGTGGAGAGTGTTTGGGCCACGTTTGGGAGCCATAAAATAGCGCCACTTCTCGAAATCGCACTTTGCTGGCAATGTTCCGAGCCAGAAACCCGAACCCGAACTCAAACCCAAGCCCCCTCTCACTCGCCCATTCTGCTAGTTAGTTAGTTGGTCTAACTTTGATTTTTTCACCTTGCCTTTTACAGTTGTAACACATAAATATTAAAAAGAAGCAGCCCTAACTGTTCATTGTGTATGCAGATCAAGATGACGCAGTGCCAGCAGCTTCATTCTGGCCGAAGTCTCTTGCAAATGAAGCTGGCTTATTGTAGCAGTTCTTTGCCACCTTGTTTACTTATCCACTTCTCTCTGTAGCCAGTTCTTGGGTACAACCTCATTTCTGAAGATGATCCAATATTGTAAACACAGTTTAAACTTTTAAATAAGAATTATTATCAATCTTAAACCGCTAAGATGAACAATAAATCACGTACTTCATCAATTAGAATAGGTTTTCAATTTTTTCTTGTTTAGCTTATTATGCTTAATAATAACTTTGGCTTATCTCAATTTCATATTACTTAATAAACAAGAACATTTAATGTTATTTCAACAGGCTGCCAAAAAGCCTATACAGATAAGCATTCATTATATCAACATAGTACCAAAGAAGGCTAACTAACATTTCGCCAAAACTACCACAATATTTACTTAAAAACGTGTTCATGTTCCCAAATCATTACGACGCCTGCTAATAGGGCATAATTTTGTAATCTATCATTGTAATTTAGTTAGCCCTCCATTTTCGGCCGGTCGAGAGCTGCAAAAACGTTAATACGAAACAGTAAACATTGCCATGCTGGCCAACACAATTGCAGGTAACCAACCAGCAAATAGTCACACTCAGATACATTTACATCTGGCCTGAAACGGACATTTTAGTTGGCCTGGCCAGAAAGAGGAGCGAAGCGAAACGAAACGAAATGAAAACCGCACAAAGCGATTAATTAATTAAAATTGGCAAACATGAATTTATCGCGCAAGCAATTTGCACAATTTGCACAAATCAGTTTGCCTGTTTTTGGGAGCGAACGCGATTTCTCCCGCAAAATATATGGACACGAATCCGGCGAAGAGCCGAATGGACCTGGCCAGGATGCGAGGCCAGGACGCTTTGCCAAACTCACCCAGGACTCACGCACACCAAACAAACCCGTTAGTCGTCAGTTGCATGTGCAATGTGCATAATTATTGAAATTTGGAAATTGTGCGGTTTTTAGCTGCAGCAGCAGCCGCCCACCCAGGACATAGGCTTTAGGCTCCAGGATCGGTTGGTCGGTTGGTCGGATGGTCGGATGGAATCTAGGCTGCTCCAGCGACTAACCGCAACAGGGAACAGAATCCGCAGCAACCGCAAAACATTTCAATGCAAAACGGATGCCAGTCGGGGGCTTTTTTGGATGGGGGGTTTAAGGGGAAGGGGGTTTCAGGGGTTAGAGGGGGCTGGTAACATATTTCACTAGCGGAGGCCACCGCAAAAATGCCAACGCACAAAGCGAAATGCGAAGTACGCACGCAGATATTTGAAGGGGGAGTTAAGGAGGGGGTATGGGTTGAAAACCGGAGCGGACTTCTGTGCAAATTACAAATGCAATCATGAAATTAATTTAATTAATGCGAGGCTCACGAACACAAAAAAAAAGAAAACCGAAAATGGAATAAAACGCCATTCAAAGTTTCTTTCGCTGCATGCAAATTAAGTATTAGTAGGGGAGATCCACAAAGGGAGATGCGGGAAAGTTCTGCCATTTCTTTTGCATGCAAATTGCTCTTAATTGTACGGGGGTCTCCACTTTCTCCCCGCTCCTCTTCCATCGTTTTAACGCACCCGGTATGCAAATGTTTTGGCTTTTCGCAGGGCCTCCGTTTGTTGTGCGGAACTCCGAAAAAGGCTTTCGGAATTTATTATGCCAGACTCCGGCACTGCAGGCAGGATTTGGGCAAAGGATTCCGCACTGCGAATCATTGAAATTTATAGTTTCCACGAAACTCAAGCTCAGAGAAGGGGCGAAACCATAACTTAAGTCTTTAAAAGAAAAACTTTTCGATGGATCACAAAGTTTTCAATACATAGTGTGCCATCTGTTTTTAATAAAACCTCCTATCCTTACAACTTACAACAAATTACGCATACGCAGTGTGAGCCCGGCTTGGACAACTGGCGCGTGAAAAATGGCAATAATAAATTAATAAAAGTAATTAATTGCAGCGCTTCGAAGGATGCAGGGCCAATCGCTTGCCGGATGGCAATAAAAATTGAATAAAAACGCGGCCATAACTCATTCACGACTGCAGTTGCAAGCAAACTGCAATTGCACGTAGTGTTGGGCGGGCTAACAACGAATTGATTGCCAAAATTGAAAGTGCTTCAGCCATTGATCAACAGTGTGGTAAAAATAATTTATTCACCCGCACATACAAGTAAACAATCGAAATTATTAATATATTAATATGCGGACACAAGTACAGTTTGATAATTATGTGCGTGCGCCGGTCGAATGTGCGAATGTAATTCACAATTTGCGGCATATTTAAAAGAGCAATTATATCAATTAACACACACACCCACCCACACGCGATGGCTATTCGAATGGGAATGGGAATGGGAGAAGGTTTGCCGAGTTAGTTAGATATACAACTTAATTATTGCTAAATGCACGCGACACCTGGCGCTATCTGGTTAGACGTCTCAATTATAGGCCATTTAGCAGACATCGGAGATGCCGAGATCGGAGGATCGGATCGGATCGGAAGTAACTACACGAACCTACGCTTGTAGGTGTGCTCAAGAAATTAGTTTAATTATGGCCGCTGCCGATCGGCTGGATTAATATACCCATCATTATATATTAGCGCAATTCACTTGCCGATCTTAATTACAATTATATACGCAGGCCCCCAAAATACTCTATATGACAGGGGGAAGAGGGGGAAAACTTACCCAGCACATTGGCCCCAAGATTGTTCAGCATGTTTGCCGAGAAGTTGCGGATCGACAGAGTCGACAGTTTGTCGCTGTTTCTTTTAGCCGCTCCAAAAGTTAAGATCACCTTCGATGATTCGCTGTCTGATTCGGGATTCAATTTGATTGAATCGAGAACCGATTGGGGGGCAGGATCCCACGGGGATTCGCTGCTCGTATACTCGTCTATCACAGAACGTTGGAGTTCACCTTCGGTGCGAATTACATGTCAATTGATCGGTGGAAATGGGTGTGGCTGAAAGTAAATAGAGCCATGAGTTTGAATATGTTGACAAGCATATAAATTATTTATACATAATGTGTATCAAATCAATTAGACTATTTAGTGGTACTCAATATTCAATTTTCACTCGATGTTTGGAGTTCTTTACTAAATTGGCAGCTAAAAGATGAAATACTAAGTGTCCTAAAGTATCTACAAAAGTTTCTAGCCACAAATTTAAAATGGAATGTTTACGCTAAATATAAATAGTTTTGAACCCTTTAATATTATAATCCTGATAGTATTAAGGAGCTATTATATTTAATATATGGACCCCCAACAGACCTAACTGATAGATTTAAATCAAACTGTCCATATTTCGTATTATAACTATTTTACTAATATCTTGTGTATCTTTATGTTACTTAAAAAATCTTTTGGCTGACCTTTTATTAATTTTGTGTCTAAATTTCTGTTTCATATTTTCTTTAGACAGGCATAATGCTAAAAATCTTGATAGTCGTTGACCGATGATTTCATTTTGTAAATGTCCCAATCTTGAACTTTGACCCTCGTCAGAAGTCCAGCTATTCGGCTAATTCCCGCAATCTTCGATTTACTTGAAAACTAAATCCTTTTCACTTTCCTTAACCGCAGAAACTTCTGCAGACATTCGATTGTTTGGGTATTTGCATTGACTTTTATTGCTCATTTGGCCGAGGACTCACCTGACTCCGCCTCCTTTTGATGGCTCCTTGCTTTGTGTGTGCCACGGGGTTGGAGGGGTCAGAGTTCAGGCCATCAGACGCTCAAATTGCCATAGTAAAATTAATTAAATGCCTTGACCATAAAAAAGCCAAAGAAATTAAATCGAAGTCACTTGGCCGGAAGTTGCAAAGTTTCCTCAGCTCAGCTCAGTTCACACACACTCACGCACGCACACAGCGGCACACAGACACTCACACACAGGCAGACATGCACGCAGGTAAAAGGACACGCAATGAAACGGAAGTCGAATCGTTTATTGATGAACTGTTTGACCAACTGACAGCCGGACACTGTCCGCCGGAGAACCCGCCTTCCCGGGCGTGGTCCCTCGTGTCCTTGTTTTTACTGTTTAATTAATAGCCGCTTTCCAACTGATTTCTGGCACATTTTCACTGATTTATTCGGTGTGTTTATTTTTTTCTTGGTTAGAACCACTCTGGTCTCTGGTTGCGACGGCTTTCTAGCACTTAACGGATCGGTTCGGATCGGATCGGATCGGAAGGGACCGGAAACGTAGCGCTGCCTTGGCGGACTCGCTTGCATTTGAGGGCAGTGCGAAAAAATCAAAGCGAATTGACTCCGCTGCCTGATAACTTCGACAATAACGACTGCGCACTGGCGCCGTATCAAATCGCCACCCCCTCGCAGCAATTGACGCGTAAGTCGGGCGTTATCTGCCTGCGGGTTTATCTCCTGCATTGATTTGCAAAAATCACAAAAAAGAAAAACAGAACAAAACAGTGGCATGCGTGCGAGGGAAAGAGACAACTAGCATAACCCACTGCCATCTTGCTTTCCAGCTGAGCATGCCAACTCGCTCTCTCTGCCTTGCGTAATGGTTGTTAGAGAGAGTGGGGTATATGCCACAAGCGTAAAATAGGCCACGCCTTCGCTTTAAGCCAACGAATGAGGGAGTTTGGGGGTTTTTTGGGCCCAGAACGATAGACCGTTTTGGCGCCCATGGCGATAACAGGTCCTTTGGTCAATCGATAGGCAGGACATCGATGCCGATTCCCCCCCGTTGTCTTCAAATCTACTCCACAGCTGGTCGCTGTGGCAACAAAAACGCTGGCTTGGCCCACAGTTATTGCCGAAAGTCCACTCCCCGATAAAGTTGCCTGCCCTTAAATTCTTTTTCGGCTGAAATTGCCACGTGTCAGCCAGCCAGCCCAGCCAGCTTCACCTGTTGTCGTTTATTAGTTTCTGTTTCCGCTCTTTGGTCGGCGGGGGGAAGTGCCTGCGACTTTCGGCGGAATTTTCATAATATTTTGCATGCTGCACAAATGTTGAATTAGCCAGACAACGGAATGCCGGGCGAAATGAGAACTTGTCATGGCAACCGCGCTATTCAAAGGATATCTCTTCCACCCGCATTTACCCCCATTCCTGAAACCTCCCTCCGCCCCTCGGATGTCTACAATTTGATGTTGCCCCTCCTTTCATGCCCACATATACATACAAACGATTTCCGAGCGTTAATTAAAAACTCAAAGAAAAATGTAAACCACCAGAAGAATGCACAAGCACACGGCAGTTTTTGTGAATATATTACATTCAGTTCTCTTTTTGTAGGTATTTTTGTAATTTGTTATGCTGATTTGTTTTCGAAAGACAGTTTCTTCTTTTTATATATCTTGTTTAGTTTTGATATAATCTTTTGACTTTTTAAACATTTTAATAAAAATATAATGTAATATGAGGGCTTTATTTTCAGAAACAATTTAACGTATATGATTTAACTGTAGAAAGGAAATTCGATTATCTTAATCTTAATCGGAATACTATATTCATGAGTTGGTATTTTATAACAAAATTATTAATAATACTTTAAGTGTTAAAAAAGTTACCCTAAGACTCGAAAATTTCGCAACGAACATGCAATTCGATAATGAAATGAATGGTTAAGTCATAAACCACAGCCCGAACTTTTTGGTTAGTGTATTATGAAGTAAACAAGCCGAATAAATCGTGATAACATCTCAATTCAGTGTTGGGTTCACTTATTAGAGCTTCTGCACCATTTTTCGTTTATTTTTTTTCCATAAAGTAAATATCAAAACTTCGTTGTGTTAATTAATCAAAGGCGTTTTTTTAAAACTCAACGTCATCGTCAGCAAAAAGAAAAATAAATGAAGCGGATTCACTGCCAGTATGTTCTGTTTAGAGTATGTAGTTGAATTTCACAATATTTACAGAGAGCTAATCATCTAAGGAGTCTCAATTAGATCGAATTTTGAATGCTCGTCATGAGCAGGTCGTAAATCACTTTGTCGAAAGCCAGGCGGCGGATAGTGACTGTGACTAGGACAGCTGCGAAATCCTTGAGATGCCGGGACCGGCATACCAAAGAGCCTGGCAAAAAGCGCAGCTCAAATGCAAAGGATTCTTCTTTCAGCATGCACGACGCTCCTTTGACTTTGTTTGGCAATCGCTTAAGCCCACGAGGAGTGGGGTTTATGGGGGGATATGTGTGGAGGACCAACAAGTACGTGCAGTCAAACAGATTTCCAGTTAGCAGCTCACAACAATTCGCTTTTAAGCCAGCGCATAAATCAACCTCAAAAGATATCCCCGAATTTCACAAAGGATGTGCGGGGGGTAAAAGTTTTTTTTCGGGCCGCGGCGTTTTATTGAAAGGATAATCGATTGCAGCCGGGGATGGCAGCGCATTAAAGGATTCGACTTTGGGCAACTTTAAAAAACTTAACGCAAGGCGATGTCGACGAACTGAACGATGCGAAATGCGGCTCTTTGCGGTCAATTTAATTGAATGATGAATTGCGTCGGACACTTGGGAGGTTGGGTTTTGTTGCCGCAGAAATTTCTTCAGTTGTCACGGGTACTTGTGTCGAAGGATTCCGATGGGATGGGAGGGGGGTCCTTTTGGCCTGCAAGAGGTGGAGGTACAAAAGGCGACGACAAAGACGAATACGCATAATCAGTCAAAATTTATGACAAGCTCGAACCCGAAAGTCAGCTTAAGCATTTAATTGGCCCAGGTCCAGTTGACAGTCCCCCAGGACATGCCTAATTAGCATGGCCACATTCAGGATGGAGTCCGTTTTTTGCCGCCCTCTCTCCTATGCGAATATGGTGTGTGTGTGCCCCAAAATGGGACCCAAAAAGATTTTTACTGTTCCTCGACTCTGACTGATTACTCCGCTGGAGAACTCGGGGGTAATTTGTCTAGGCCAAAAAGGCTTCTGGCCTCCTTGACTGACAACGAGCGACCAAAGTTCAAAATTTGCTCCTCCGAAACACATCCTTTTTGTCACCGGCTTTCACTCGATTCGCTCGCTGCACGGAGGCGCATAAAAGATAGATAAATAAGGAAAACTCCGAGCTGCGTAAAACCGAAAATGTTGAGCTTAGTGCAGTTTCGTGTAACGCATTATTCTTGCTTAACATTTGTTGCTCCTGGCTTTTTTCTTTATTTTTTACGCCGTTTTAAGCCACAGATTCGTGCTTTGTTAGTAAAGAAATTAAACACTATAGCTTTGATAAGGCTCTTATTAAAATGAAAACAAGCCGACTCTTTTTAAAAAATATATTATTATAAAGGATCTTAAACCAAATCGATCTAGCCAAATGCCTCAACTCTGCATGTTTACATTGAATTTATTATGAAATATTTATAAACACACTTGTGGTTTCGTTTAAAATCCTCTACAGTTTCTGGTTTCTGGAGTCTTACTTGCCAGAAAATCGTAGAAACCTTTTCTTTGTTATAGTCTGAAGAAAACATTTCGATACCGAAAAAACGACCGAAAATCAAGGAAAAGCGTCTAGACTGTACTTCCGGCCTAAAGACTATAACTTTAACTTCCTTACACAAGAAAAGCTTATGTAGATAACATTTTACATGTCAACTTTCCAAGCGTCATCTCTTGTCTGAGCGCCATCTGTCAGAATTTACAGGAACGCCCAACTACGTGTATTGAACGAATACGGCAGAGGGCGCTTTTCAAACATTGGCAGTGCTGTAGTAATTATAGCCACCAGTGTTTTCTGACAAATCTTAAGGATAAGCTAAAAATTTTTCTATATTTTTTAACTGTTTCTGGAAAATATAAGTAGTTCCAATAAATTCTTTTATAAGTTATATGGTTTCCCAGATCTAAGGGCATACAAAAGCTCCAGTATAAGGTGAGCCAAATATGAACACAAGTCCCAATTTTCTAAAGTCCTTGAATTAAAAAATAACATTATTAGTTATCTAATAAATTGAAAATGATTGAATATTTTTCTGAAAATAGCATATTGCTTTTTAACCGTTAAATGATTTTTAACGTATCTCAAAATATCTTCAAACTTAATCTTACATTCTTTTAATCTTTATCTGTCCATTCTGTACAACATAGCCTAAATAAAATCAATTTCCGATATTGTCAGAAGTGCATTTTAATAGATCGATCGACAGGGAACTAAATTAGCTGACGAGCGATAGTAATCACACGCTTCGCTACCAACCATCATCCCCCGACCGCTTCCCATCCCTCAAGATCCTGAAGGCGTTCTTCGGTTCCTGAAAATGCCAATGATACTATTATTTAATGGATCGGTCTCGCAGGAACCTCTTGTTCCTCTCGACAAGCCAACAAAGACGAAAAGGGAAGTGCACACTTTGAAAGAAGTGTCTTTGAGACCATAAACAAGGACATTATACATAATACAGCCATGGAAGTAGCAAACATTGTCAACAGGCAAACAGGCAAGCAAAACACGGCAACGCCCCTAAGCTGCTAATGAGGGCAACTGTGGCTAGAGGCTGTGAAAACAAATACAAAAACGGTGAAAGGACGCATGCTGCGATATGGATCAGGATCACATTCGCAGGCAGCTGAGAAGCAAAGAGAGAAAAGGATACAAAACAGTGGCAGTGGCAACATGGCCGCAAAACGATCTTAAGGAATGTTTTTGCGGTTTGCCAAGCGAAGATACTCTCACATGCTACCTACTTGCAAGCCAGCGTTGTTCATTTAACAATCACAAACTGGCGATAATCCTGGCCCTTGAAAAGTATTCCAAAACCAGACGGAGATACAAAAGCATAAGCGGATTGGCCAAACAAAGTTGAGTGCCCTCAATACCTCGTCCTGATCTGATCCCTCGCCTGCGCCGTGTTTGATGTCCTGCGGCGCATATTAACATTATCAGCTGTGTGCAAAAGAGAGAGAAAGGACTGCCGAAGTGGAGAAAATCCCACTAGACAATGTTATCGGAGCGATGTAATTGTCTCGCCCTTGTCCCGGCCTCCGAATAATGTGTGAAAATTTACACCGAGCCGAAGGCTCCCGCTGCGCCCGAATGCAAAGGACATTCTTCTTTTGCTCGCTGTAATCGGCAAATGTGGTTAAGTGATTTAAGAGGATATTATCGAGCTGCACGGCAGACAAATCAATCGAATTCAAAGTGAGACCAATTTCGTTTGCATTATCCTGCAGGCAGAGCCGCCGTGATTCCGTGATGCGTTTTTTCCTTGGCTCCGTTTTCGCGTCGCTTTAACGCAGTTTCCCAAAGCGGAAACGGAAATTTTCTTCGCATGTTTGTGGATGTCAAAGCTGCATTTGCAATCGCTGGGAGTTTTTGTGTTTTTATTGCAGTTTAGTCAATTGATGGGACACTACGAAGGTTGGTTTGTCTTATAAAATTTCAGATAACATTATTTCTAATCAAATAACATAAGTAACGCATTTGCAATGGTTCTCAGCAATCCAATACTGGACTGGACAACTTTAACAATTTTGGCCCGATCCCAAAGTGGCATACCTCTAAATGTTTGTAATCGCATCCTTGATACAATTGCATTCAAAATTTTTCATTTTTCGATGGTCAAATTTTTACCCCTGTTTATATTTATATTTATTTATATTCAATCCCAAAGTGGCATACCTCAAAAACAGATTATATAAAAGAAGATATTTTAGAGTTATGCTTTTGGAAATATTTGTATAAGTTGTAGAGCGGCACACTATTATTATTATGAAAGTTTTATTGACATATTTTGACTTGAACCATAACCAATAAGTAATTTATGTAAGTCGATCAAATAATTTTTGACCACTTAAATAGAGTCCTTGTTCCGGATATTAGAGTCCTGTAACGAAAACAAACATTGTGTAGTGGGAAAAGCAACCCCTGAACCGAATCTGCAGCCTCAATTAACCCTAAGCGACCATAAAAATCGAGTCATTCGGTCACAAATGAAAACAACTGCCGCGGGGCCTGGTAACTCAAAAATGGTTATGATTGTTATTCCGTTGTTCCCGTATTTTGTTATTTTGGCACCCTCCGGCTGGAAGGACTCACCTAACGATGTTAGTGTTTCCGTTTATGCCACATGCTTACCCGTCAATTTGCGTGCAGCTCGCATGCCCCAGGACACGTTCATGTCCACGAACGAGGACACCACGGATTCCACCCGGACCTTTCGATGAGATGAGAGGGGGTCGCGGAGCAGGGGACAATTCGTAGCATTTGGCAGACGTCAACGCCCTGCACAAGTGCAGGAAAATGAAATCAAATCAAAGCCAAAGCCAAACGAATTGATCAGAAAAATGTCATAATTGAATCGCAATGGGAACCCACCCTCCCCTTAAATCCGAAATGTGGGCGTGGCTGGCTTTTGGCTATGCTAATCAGAGATGGCCGAGAAGTCTCAAATTTCACAGGCCAAAAGTTAAACATGTTGCTACACACAAAGAAATAGTACAGTTTTGGGTTGAAAAACCATAGGGAGGAATTTGATATGCAAATAAGATGCGGGTATATAGTCAGATCCTTAAAATATCCGTTAATTTTAATTGTGAAATCCTTTAGTTTGCTGTGTAGTTCCTGCCGCCACACAAAAGGTGTTGGAGTACTGGAAATAATTTCCGTTTGGCTCCTAGTGCTCATTTCGCCTATTTTGTACATACAAAACTAATTAATTTCCCAAAATGCAACAGAGTTGGGCCAACAAGTGGGGAGTGGAAGGGGGCGGGGTCGGGGGAGAGCATCACAGGATATTTGTGCAAGCAATTTCCGCCGCCGAAGAGAGTTTTGTGCGTAATTAATTTATGCAAAATACAAATGCAAACAAATTGCAAATGTTTTCGCACAAAATTGCCGCGCGCCCAAATTGTTTTCCAAAATAATTAACTTTTCAACGGGTTTAATTAGAAATTTTCTCAATTTTCCCGCTCAATCAGGAAGGCGAGCACTCGGTTGTCAATTGATGGAGTTGGCTCGTCTCTCCAAGTTTTCTTTAGCGGATTTTATTTAAGTAATTTTCAGTGATGAGCGGATGCCTGACCTGTGGACTATTGAGGCTACTATGGTGTTGGTTGGAGGATTTGTCCTGCCGATTGCAGGACAGCAATCTACTCAAGTTGATCGTGGCTATTATAGTGGCTCTTTTGGTGCTGTTTAATATTTCCACGGGATTAAGCTTGGCCAACAGTTGTGATGAGAGTTCGCAGGAAAGTTTGGAAGATGGATCTGGAGATGCTTGCGAAGATTCTTTGGAAGGTTCTTCCTCCAGTTTGCAGTGCACTCGTCTCGGTTCACCAGAAACTTATGATTACGGTTGGATTAGAGGTCCTCATACTTGGGAGACACCTTGCAACAATCAGAGTCCCATTAACATAGAGCTCAATAGATTGGAGATCAACTACTTTGATGCTCCCCTGATATGGTCCAATTATAATGAAGTTCCTCTAGGAATTCGTTTGGAGAACAATGGACACACTCTGATCCTTCGAGCTGCTTTTCCTGGTTCGCCACCTGCAATTGATGGAGGAGATTTGCTGGGACGCTTTGACTTCCGGGAAATCACCTTCCGCTGGAGCTGGAGCAACTCATCGGGTTCGGAGCACACGATTGACCATCGGCACAGTCCACTGGAGATGCAGTGCCTCCACATCGACACCGATCGAAGTGGCTGCACCTCCAGTCAGCGCATCCTGATGATATCCTACATGTTCAATTACACCGACGATAATCCGTTCCTCGACGTTCTCGTCCAGCATTTGGTGGCAGTTCAGCTGGCAGGTCAGGTGGTGGAAGTTCCCCCCTTCCCGCTGAGCTACCTCATGCCGGCCTTCTACGACAAGTTCTACAGCTACCACGGATCCCTCACGGAACCCCCGTGTCATCGGGGAGCCGAGTGGCTGATGCATCCCGTTCCGTTGGCCATCAGCGAACGACAGCTGAACGAGTTCCGTCAATTGAGGGACAGGCAGGGGGCTCGAATTGGACGCAATGCTCGCCCCGTTCAGCCACTCGAGGATCGGACGGTCTTCCTCAACCGCTTCCGAACTGGGGATTAAGTTAAAAAACAAAAGTGTTAAATTTAAATTTGTTAAGTTAGTTGTGACCTCTTATATTTGCATTTTTTAAATTTTACCTTCACCATTTTACAAGGTTTATTTTTTGTATAACATATTTAAGGCCTGATAAAATTTTATATGTAGGTACACCTATTTAGTAATGGAAATGAATATTCGAAGTATTATTTCTAAATAGGTAACTGTTCTAAAAATTTAATTTAAGTAAAGTAAATTTATTAACTGTTTAATATATAACCGCATTGACTTCATTATCGATATTGAGCAACCCAAAAACCCGTATTGCAACATAAGGACATAACTTTTAATACCAAACACTCGCCGAAATCGCATTAGGCCCATCAATGAAATCCTGTGCAGTGCATTCACCCTTTGACAGGGTAACAAGGACCCCATTAGCTCCCAAGCCAAGGTCTAATTGGTCCTGTTCCTCGCTCTATGCCTCATCCTTTACTCCTTGTCCTGGAGAGTTTTCCGCACAATTTGCTTTGGGTTGCCGTTTGCTGGGCAAATAGTTTGCTTATATAGTAATTCGGTAATTAGTCGCTCAAAGAGCATTAGCATTAGCATTAGCATTAGCAGTTGCAGGATTCTGAGCCTGTTCCGCGTCCTGTGCGCAAAATCGCCGCAGGACACGGCTCTGCGAATGTGTGCGTTTATCAGCGGCGAGTGTGTCCGCTTGCATGTGTGTGTGTATGTGTGAGTCTGCGTCTGTAATTTCGTTAGTGCAGCGGAAACTGTTGCGGACATGTTTGCCCTGCGATTGGGATTCGGATTGAGATTGGCAACAGGAATGGGAATGGGAATGCGAATGGGAGAGGGAGTGGGAATGTCAGGGTATTGGGATTGGGTTTTTGGGCCTCCTGCGGCGAAGCACCCTCATCTCCTGTCCCCTGCTTGTCCCCCTCCCTTTCCCTCATTACAGCTGCTGCTTGGCAATCAGAGTTCCAGTTTCCAGGCTTATAATTATCAGTTGGCGCCTAACCATAGATGGAAATTTTCGACCAACATGCCGGGCCGTTGGCCAGTAATTAGTTTTTATTCCAGAGTTGGGGCGACCCAACCAATTCGATTCGATTCGACTGGATTCGATTCGATTGGAGGGCATCCCAGATCCACATGGAACGTGGGCCTCCGCGTCGACTTGTTTAATCAATGGCAGGCCAAGTGAGTTTTGCCTGCAATTGCATTTGCTGCAAATCAACGCTAATGAAATTATACAAACAAGTTTCGGTTGTTGTGTTTGTGTTGTGCTCTGTGCACTTTGTCAATATTTGTGCTGTTCGCCCATTCGCAATTTGCATGTTTTGAAAACTTAATTGAATTGCAATTTCCACAAATAAAGCTTAATTTTTCGGTCGCGCTTTTCGTTTTCGGGTTTTGGGTTTTGGCCGCCCCGTGAACGTGAACAAAACAATTTATTTTTGCAGCCAAAAACTAAAACTTTTGTCTGAGAAATGCAATTAAAAACGGATAATTCCATTTATTAATGCTTGATATGCAAATTGATTGCACACAAAATGTTCAATTAATATGAAAATGTTTGTTAGAAAATTAATGCAATTTTTCCCAGAATGGCAATAATTACTCTTCATGTTTGTGCAAGGTTGCCCGCTTATATATGTTAAATTAAATGAAAATGAAACACTAAAATGCAAATAATATGCAATTAATTAGTTTGAAAACTTGTTTATGCGTCAAAGTAGACGAGTGCTATTTTAGGAAATATTTGAAGCAAATGAGATGAATAATTTAAGGAAATTAGAAGCTAGAAAGGTTTTTAAATTGAATAGTTGAGGTTTTTAAAAAGCTTTAATTGTTGATTTATTTGATAGTAACCATGAATAAAATAGAATATTAAACTTAAGTCTAAACTTTTTATTCGATTCCTTTAAAGAAGCAACCGCAGCATAAACAAAAGCCAAATGCCTCATTTACCCAAATCTCCCAAGAAATAGTTTACTCAATAGAAGCAGTCGCAGCAGAACAAACATATCAATCAACATATTTAATTGAACGTAATTAGAATAAAGCAGGCAGTCTGCCAAAATCCAACTCCCCTAGTAGCCGAGTAAACCGAAGCCAGTTTGGCCAACTCTGTTCAAGACAACCCAAACCAGCCTTTTCCCAAAGCAACACAGCAGTTTGTGCAAGAAAATGAAATTAGACGAATAGAATGACGATGTAAGTGCCATGAAAAGACGTTAAGACGCTCTAAGCCAAGATGCTCGGTGGGCAAGGAGGATGGAGGAGAGTTGGCTGCTGGTAAAATTGAGGCAAATTGCATTTAAGTGTTGCCGTTTTCATTTAGCCGCATGAATATGTATGGAGGATGCCTCGCAGATCCTTGTGGGCGGTGGGTGGTGGGTGGGGCACTAAGCTTCCTTGCCACTTGCTTTTGTGGCAAGCAAAATTGAATGAATAATTGAGAAAACGAGCGCATGATGGCATTAGTGTGTGATTGTGTGAGTCCTTACTTGTGAGTGTGTGTGTGTGTTTGCAGCTAATGAATTTTAATTGCTTTTATTAAGGCACAAAGAGGTTGGCCTGCCGACACTGCAGTGTCTGCATCAAAAATCCCTGTTCAATGTTAATTGTTAATCATTAAATATTGTTGCTGGCAAAATCAATATGGCGGCTGACGATTAATCAACGCCATTTTGTAATTATCTCTCTGGAATATTTAATTCAATTAACTTTGCGGGTGAACAAACTGAACGGAGCTCTCATTTTTTTCTCGCATTGTGTTTTTATTTCCCGTCCAGCAATGCAAACAAATAAATTTAATTGAAAATTGTTATTGCAACAGTAACCGCACTAAAAGCAGCAGCAGCAGCACAACAACAAAAATAATAAACAGTAAAAATTGAATAAAAAAGAACAATAACAAGATGTACATGCTGTCTGCAAGGAAAGAGAAAGAGTCGGGGAGACAGAGAGCCAGTCGCACACATGAAAATTAATTTGATGGAAAACTCGGTCCTTGCCGAGTCCTTTGCCCTCCGCTCCTGCCCCCAATCGTCTGTCTCTGTCGCTCAGCCCTTTGGCGCACTTCCTTTTTCAATTAAACGCCACCATTTTCCATTAACGAATTTGCATGTGTGTCTGTGAGAGTGTGAGGCACTCACACACACACTCAGCCAAGTCCCTCCGAGTCGAACACACCCATACAGTCAAACACATACACACATGTCTGTATTTCTATAATAAAATTAAATTAGAAGACCAGAAAATTAAATCATCAAAGCTTGACGTCTGCCGGCAGCGTTGGCTGCTGTTTCCTCCTGTGAGTGAGTCAGTGTGTGTTTGCTAGTGTGAGTGCCACACACACACACGTACGAACACACACCGACACTTGCACACTCTCAGAGCCCAATTTGCAAAAGCGACAGTTACGAGTTCATTAATTTTTCTTCTTTTTTCCTCTCTCTCCGCCTCTAGTACTCTGCGGTTTTTGGCTACCTCCCCCCTTGATTCACCCACCCACTTTTCCATCACCCCTCTCGCTCTCTCCCTCTCTCTTTATTGCCATCTCTTTCGGGGCTGCTCGCTTTTCTTGATGGTGTGAGCAGCATCATAAATTAAATTCTTCATCAACTCAAACTCGTTAAGCGCCAATAAAGTGACAGAGAGTTATTTTCATCACTTTTTCAATGGTCTACCACAAGGTAAGTTGGTGTGCATGTGTGAGGCGCCCGTTTGTGTGTGTGTGTGTGTGTGAGTGAGTGTCAATGCGCAAAAGCGCTCTCGCACACACACGCACTACGAGAGAGAGCGACTGGTTTTGGCCACGCCCCCAGCAGAGAGAGCGGTAATTCGAATGGGATTTACGAGAGGAGGTTCATAAAAAAGGTAGCCGAAAGCAAACTGGTTCTTCAATTCAGTAGCAGAATTGCCTCTACTTTTTTAAAGACTTTTACGCATGCGCAGCACGATTTAGATTTAGATAAGGCGATTCAGCTAAGTGCAGTTCCGCCACATCTGCCCAAAAAAAAATCGAGATGATATCAGCTTACTACTCTGAGTAATCATTCCAGTGCCACCCCGTTCACCGGGCGTATGCTTAATATTGCTCTCCTCATCGTCGAAAAGTCACCGTTAACTGCTTAACGATAAAAGCAAACTAATTAAATCCAGGCGAAAGGAGGAGAAATTGCCACATAATAAAGCAAATTAAAAGCAAATTAATTTAAAACAAAAAAGGGGGAACGGCGAGGCGCAAAAGTTGAGGAGTGGCAGAGCAACGAGTTAACGTTGCGGATGTGGCGTAAATGAAAAGGATGCCAGGCTCACACTCACACTCGCACACTTGTGTCGGGTTAAGTGGATACACACAGACACACGCACACACATACACATTTACCCAGCAGACGGAGATACCAGAGATACCGTTCGTCCGTCTGACGCTCCACTTCAATTAAGCAGCGCGCCAACATGGCAGCCTCTCACAGATACACACACCAACACACTGTCAGGCAGGAAGAGAGCACAAGAGTCTCCCCCGCTTCCCCCTTTCCCTTTCCCACCACTCACACTAACACAGACACACACACATCCCTAGGACGTAATTACGTTTGGCAAGCTCGTTATGCGTAAGAATAAACGCGCATTAAGAGCTCATTAGTTGGCACAAATCGAATCGCTGGGCCAAAAGGAGGGTCCAAACCGAATGGCAAGGGGGAGGGGGAGTGGGGGTAGGTGGGGTAAAATGGGTGGACTGTGTGCTGGTTATCTGGCATTTTCATTTAACGTGTAATGGAGGATAGCGTAAACGGGCAAATTGAACCGAAGCCAAAAGAGAAACTGAATGAACTGGACTAAAATGAAATAATCGAGCTCAGGGGAAAAACCACAACTCATGACAACAGGTAAGCTGCGAGACGCCGGCTAAATGTAAATGGTAATGGTATTGGCCACGCTTAATGGCTGGCCAAACTGGCTGACTGCGTCTATTACCCGGCTGACAATCAAGTGTCGGAAGTTGGGGGGTTGGCGACTCCTTGGGGGATCACCTTCAACGGCCAAAGTATGTTTTAGCAAATTATTTGGCTAACGAGCTGCACTTGCTTTGCAATGTTTTTAAAGTTAAATATACCACCTTTACAAATATCTATGACGGACGGAAATATTTGGAAAAAACATAAGTATGTAAGTATTGATAAGGTAACAAACATTAAGAATACTATACGTGACAGAAAAGGTAAAAAATACAATTAACAAAAAACAACCGATATCTTTGATCGAAAAGATTTTAATGTACCTCGACTCACAATATGCTATAGCAAAATAGCAGATGGTAGGTTTATGTTATCTATAAAATGCTATCTATGGAATAACTGATAATCGATAATAAAATCTCGATACTTAGTCTTCCAATTATAAGCTGTTCATTTAATGTATGTTGGGATCTGCTTATCTTAATCAAGAAGCATTTTAATAATATATATATAGAGGCAATGGAAAATAAACTCGTATAAAAAAACCTATCCTTTATTTCGTTTTCTGTGTCAATCAATGAAGTTAAGCTCATCAACTAACTGATTTTTAATCCTGCTAAATTAGCACACTGATTCCCCGACCACAGCTGCTTGCGGAATGCCTTTAAGTTTGTTTCCCTGGCAAAAGCCGCTTGCCGCAATCAGCTTGCAAATTTGTAACAATAGCAGGATATTAACAAAATCCACTTATGTATCCGTTTTGGGTTTCACGCTCCTTGGGAGAAGCTGCCGAGCGAGACGGAAATGCCGATGGACAGAAAGAGAGAGACAGAGATATAAAAAGACGCACACTTTGTGGCCTAAGCCCAAAACGGTTTTCCGATGCAATTGTGGTCGAAAAATCTGTGGCACCAAAGTCATAATTCCGGGGCGGAAAAGTGCAAGGACTCGGGAGTCAGGACTCAGGACTCTCCTGCCAGGACAACTGGGTGAAGGACAGTAAGTGCAGTTAGTTTATTTTATTACGGACCCGACAAACAAACCACTTGGCAGGGGTCTCTTAAAACTCATTGTTACACTCCGAACTCCGGATCGCAAAAGGAAGGAGGTTTGTGGAAAGTATGGTCCGTGCCGCGGAGAAGAGAGTCCATCCACCCTTCGAGTCCTGCGCACTCTCTCCCGCTCGCAAGTCCTCTCTCTCTCGCCGGGAGACTCCGCCCCTTAAGCACACACACAGGGACACAGTGTATATATAGATGTGGTGAGCTCAACCGGTTTCCAATTCGATTTGGAAACTCGAACCGTCAGCGGGCCACAGTCGCTGTTTTTCGAGTTTATTGCCAACTGTGACTTGGCTCGGTGCGCAACGGTTTCGGTAGTTGGTAGTTTCGGAGCTGAAGTTTTCCCGCTTGTGACTGAAAAATGCTTGACACTTGGCTAGAGGAAAAGTAAAGAAAATCCAAGATCGAATTAAATACAATTTGTGTGTTTGTGAGTGTGTGTGTGTGTTGGTGCCCCAACTGTGATCAATCATATCATATTGCCCGAAAAGAAGTACTTTTTCAACCGAATGGATATCAAAGCCTCGACGCCGCCTGCACTCGAAGTGGCTCCTGGCCAACCGGGATCGCCAATTCCCAAGTCGGTGGCGATTTCCGGTGGAGCGGGATCCACGGGATTGGCCAACTCCTCCATGGCCACCAGCAACACCGCCGCCACATTCCAGCACATTTTCGAGCAGCTGGTGCAACAAGGCGGCGGCAATCACAAGCTGCCGCCCAAACAACTGGAGCACCTGCGCCACCTGCTCGGCAATGTCAGGGATGCCAAGAATCTGCAGATGATCGTGGAGAAGTTCAAGAACCTGGAGCAGTTCCACGAGCACTATGCCGCCCACCTGGCCAACAACAACACTGTGATCTCGGCGGAAGGTAAGTTCACCGACCGCCCGTCGGCAATTTTCGATGGTCTGCTCTTGAGGGAAAAATTTCCTTTAGAAACTTTTGATCCTATTTCAGTAATTCAAAAATCAATATAAACTAATTCAGAAATGTTTTTATGGTAGGGGTATTATTCGTTTTTTATAATATTTCTCAAGCAAGTAGAAGATATTTGAAAGATCATCCACCATATATAAAAAATCATATTATCATTTCCTAACATTCTGGCAAAAAAATTTGATGTTTTGTTCAACTTCATTGAAATACTAAAGATATGCTTTAACACTACTGCTACTATGTATCCTTCTTTTAATTGAATACAAATGAATTCATAATAAAAAGCTTTATATAAGATGGAAACCAATTTAATAATATTTAAAATTCCACTCCACAATTCAATAATTACTTCTTCAAATCAAGTTATCCTATTTAAAGCTCTTAGAATTATTTTTCCATGTGTGGCCTTAGCCGGAAAAGGCTTGCAATTGTTTGATTATAGATTTAATTAACACAAATTGCTGGCGAGCACGGACATTCCGGAATGATCTCTCCATCCCGTTCTGACCTCCGGAATGGCTAAGTGTGTGCGTGTTCACAGCAATGTTTTTTGTGCATTAACATGCACAGCGGAAAATTTGAGAGAAAAAATTATAAGCTAATTGCAAGACGGGGCAATTAAAGGGATTTCGCGGCTGCACTTTCCACTTTCCACTCGCCACTTGGCACAGTTTGTTTTAATTTCGTTAAAAATGCATAAAGCCATCAGGCAACATGTTGCCTACTTTCCAGCATGCCGTCGTGACAACTGGCCATTTGGCGGGGGAAAGGTGGGAAGGAAGGTGAACAGGACTCGGGGAGCCCAGGTCGCAATTACAGCTTTTAGCTCGTTAAAATCGCAAATAAAGTCGTGTGTATGTGGACTGGACTAAATTTTAATACTTTCGAAATTGCTGACAAATTTGCATAGAGTCGTTGGTGCTGTCGTGCGCCTAATTGACTTTGGCAAACTGTTGGCAAACAGGCTTTTAATTCAGGTCCGCTAACACTACCTCCCTGCATAAAAATAAACGAACATACATATATATAAATACATATATTTTTAACCCACAGATAGCAACGAATTGCTGAAGGATAATGCCAGGAAGTTCGGATCGGGCGGACAAACTCTAACGCCCCGCCACACAATCGATGCCATTCTGGGTTTGAAGAATCGCAATGGCACTGGAAATGCCCGAAACCCGGAAACGGTCAACGATGGTGAGTCGAACTATAGTATTGGTATAAGGCTAACAACTGCCAACGTTATTTGCCCATTAGCCATGATCGGTGGGCGCTGTCATAAAAGGCAAATCGATTTCAATTACCCGCTCGCAGGCCAGCGAATCAACAAACACAATCGCAAAATTGTATTAGCCTTGAACGGAAAGGGGGAGGTTTGCGGTTTTTGGGTGGCGTTGGGTGGGTGGTTTTTTGGGTGGCGTTGGGTCTTGCACTTTGGCAACGCCTCGAGATGCACGACAGCTGATAAGCAATCAGTCAGCGGTAATCGCTGGCGAAGAAAACGAAACGACGGCAAAAGGAAGTCATAGATGGGATTAGAATTCCTCCTGCACTTTTATTTTGGCGGCCAATTTAAACTTCTATTAGTAGCGCGGGGAGCGAATACTTTTTGAAGGCTTTTTAACTGGATTATAGTGGGGATTTGCGGTGCCAGCTGGCGACGGCTCCTTTCCCAACGGCCGTTGGGTGCCAGAAATAGTCTCCTGCACGTCATTTATAATTCATTTCGCTTCTGTTTTGATTGCCGGCAAGCGATTGTCGCTCTCGCGTCTCGACCACGCCCACCGCCCATCGCCCACGCCAGAAATTGGCAGCGACTTGCGAAAAATAGGTGGGCATTGATATTGCCGCGATTATGGTTATGGCCATAACTCCTTGGATCATCCAAAGGGGCTAGGTGAGAAATTGAGGAGGTGCTGTTGCCATTTCGGCAAAGGAATGAGATGTATTTTGTGACTTTTTTTGTTTTATCAACATATAATAGTAATCTTTGGTAATACAGAATGTGCATATTTTATACTCATTTATTATTATTTTTGTGATTCTTTTTTAGGTCTAAATGTTCAAACTATAAATGAAAATACCATTTTGCTTTAACATATTGTTAAAGTCAGCGGTTTTAACTGTTTGCTAATTTCATTTCAAAATATAGTTAGCATATGCATAAATAAGCCTACTTAATCATAGCTATTTTGTAATTCGAAAATAGTTAAAAGCAATTACAAATTGTGTAACTTTGAAGTTCATAGCTTTTCAACTTACCACTAAAAAGCCAAATCAATTAACAGCAAATTCATTTAAAGTTAATTTAATTAAGTGGTCTCATAAACGCCCAAAACAGATGCCAACAATGGAAAAGAGCCTCCTAAAAAGCTGAAACAACAAGCAACAACAACGTGATAAACAAATTGACAACAACACGGAGAGCAAATCAAAATGGCGCTGAGCGGCAACAACAAGAGCACAGGTTAAAGGCCGCAAATTAATTAGAAGCAGGCTAATTAGAGGGGGGTGTACGAATCAATTGGGCGGAGGAGGGGGGTCTTAAAGCAGTGGCTCAGGGAAAGAGGGGAAAAGGAGTTGCGTGGTCAGCTACAAGGCGAGTTTACAGCGTTTCGCATTTAAGCCATAATTAAACTGGCGGCCAGACACAAGCTGTCAAAAAGCATTTAAACTGACAGCTGGCGGCAGAAGTGGCGTCCCACAGCCGAAAGAGACAGCTAGAGTGCAACAGAGACTGTGTGAGAGAGAGAGAGGGAAGATTAAGATGTAAACAATCATTAAAAGCGCAAGAGGCACAAGTGCATTTGGCCAAAAGGCAGCTCTGTATGCTCTGCAACTTTAAGATCAACGGAGGCTTAAGCCAAGAAAACAAGAGAGAAAGAGACAGGTTAATGTAGTTAGAAAGGGAAGGCAATAAAGACCTGAAGTGATCCCCTTCACGATCCATCTACACGAGATCTGTTAAGCAGTTGACGCGGCATTAAATTGAGCATTAAGGCGTCCTAATGACTTTAATGCGTGTCTGTGCTCGTGCGTCGGCGTCGTCTTATTAGCCGTCTTTATTTTTTTCTTTTTGTGGCTCCTACCACTTTTCATGGCACTCGTGATTGACAGTTTTGTTTATGGCTTGTTTCGCTTTTTGATATGAATCCGATATCGCGTCTCATCTGGCTGCAAAGATCTTCCGGCGAACAAGGGGCCAGCCGAAATGTGCATTTCCTTTTTGGCCCCTACCTGTTCTGGCCGTGACTTTTCGAAACACGCTGCGGCTAATAACATATCAATTAGGCCGCCTAATGGCCAAGTATTGGCCCAACAATGGGAAACTGTCAAATCATCATTAGGCTTAGACTTGGGCAAAAAGGGGCATGTGGAAGGGGAAAAAGAAGAAGTGACGCGATTAACGTCAATTTGTCTTTAACATTGGGCTTGTTTCGTAGGAAACACCAGTCAAATTAGAGCAAAATGAGACCTCATTCTAATCGTAGTCTAGCATCTCAGTAAAAGAGAGACTTTCTCGGTAGCTATCTTAACCTTTTAGCATTTACACTCGTAATTCGGTATTCATAATCAAATTTGTTGCGTTAACAACCGACAAACTTCCAGCTGCCAACTTAAATTGCCAAGCTAATGGAGAGCGCACGGAAATCATTTCTTAATTGATGTGTCGATCATTATTTCATGGGTCTAGCACTGAATGAATACTCCAGCCATCGAACTTGAGTGAATGGGAAGTGGCTTATAAGGGAGTTCATTCACCATTAGGAAACTTGGAGCTTAGCTTGATCGAAAATTATCAGAAGCTTAAAAGCTATAAAAGTTATTTTGTATTTTATTTATTTTTTATAGATATCATCTTTGCTCAAAAACCTGTTTACATTTTAATTAAATTTATCTATTATTATTGAATGTCTTAGATTTATTGTTATTGAATTTATTATATTGAATCAATATACAAAACAATACTTTTATTATTGTATAATCTAACATCGTATTTTTTATGCATGAGTATATAAAAATTAGAAAAGTATAGTCAGGTCTCAGTTGTTTAATTATAACTTAAAGTAAAAGTTAGGTTAAAGTTACAGAATAAGTTTGATTACATTTATTCAACCATAAAAATATCAGAATCGATTTCTGTCATACTTTGATTTATGTCACCTTATAAAAACAAATTTCCCTACGATAAAAATCCATCATTCACACTTTATCCAATTGCTTAGGAGTGAGCCACTTCCCCGATAGGCAGAAAAACTTTTGTTTCAACCTTTTATTTTTGGCTGCTCACGCAATTAACTCACGCACTCCGTGGGTTCCACTCAGCGGTGGCTTTTCGGTGGATTTTGGGTGGATCGAGGGGCCGGGTGGTGCAGCTACTGTCTCTCGCCTCATGTGGTTCACACTCGAAACAAAAAAATAATATGTATTCCGACATCTTTTGTGCTACTTCATTTGCAGAGGCTTTCAAAACGAATTTCGTTGTTAATTTCATTAGCACCACAGTGGCTCAAAATAAAACACACGCTGGGCGTGTAAATTTCGATTGATTGGTGAAAACGCTCGGAGAGGTTAATTCGGGGCATTTACAATCTTCGTTTGGCTGCTGTTTAAAGTTAATTAGCCAAAATGTTGACCCAATTAATCGAACTGAGTCGAATCGAAGCGATGTGGCGCATAATTACATTATACAATCGACTAAGCGAAGCGGTCCAAAAGCCGACTTACATCGAAAACCAATTACCCAAAAGACTATCAAATAATTACAGATATTCTCGAGTAGCTAGTTCCCAGTCTGACTGGGTAATTGGTTTTGTTTCGATTTGCGGCCCGCCCCGAAAGGCAATTTAACATAGAAATTGAATTCGGTTACACAAAATCCAGCCCAGAAAGCACTGAAACCTAAAACTAAAATAAAAAACCTGGCCCTGGAGCGGCGACAACTAATGACTTCCTTGCATGTCACGTGATATGCACAAAAAGCTAGTTGGAACGCCCATTAGGGAGCAGTACCTCCTCATCTGGACCTCCACCTCACCTCGGTGGATTTCCCCCTTTTCCCAGAAATTTTTATTGCCTCACATTGTAAATACCGGGCGTCTAATTGAAAGCCGTTTATTAGTGGGTGGGCGGCCAACGCCAACAGGTTTGACCCGCTGCAGGTCGAAGGCTTCCATTTCCACTTCCATTTCCATTGGCCCCGTCAACCACCAAATTAAATAACACGTTGTTATTAGCCGGGCTGAGCGGGCTTTTGGCCAGCAAGTTGGCAAACAGCTTTATGACTTCCATTCCCGCCTCATTGAGCATACTAATTAAAATCGAATCAGGCGCCAGAATGCGTGGGTGAATGGAGAACGGAAACTCGGAGCTCATTAAGTTGTATTAGCAACTGATCATGCTCAATAAATTACACACCTAATAGAGGTTTATTGGATTTGTATGTGGTTGTAAGATGATGTAAGTCTGTATTCTATTAAAAAGATTCATGACAAGTCTTAATCAGATTGTAGTTTTCCAAGATAATTATCATTGGACTATTCTTTATAGTATATATCTTGTATGCTATTAATATTATCTCATTAGATTAAAAAATGAAATCGAGTTTTTTAAAATATTTCTTAGTTGGTTTATATTTAATCATAAAAGATTCGTACGGCAACCATTAAGTTTTTAAGGATTGTTGTCCTCGAATAATAATTATCAACCAGAAAATAGTTGTTTTGGACCAATTTTTACATTTATTTTTATTATTTCAGGCACCATTGACCCCTCTTTGGGTGATGAGGACGCCACTGACCTGCGCTGCGGAATGACTCTGACGCAGCTGCGCAGCATGGACAATCACATGGCGAGCATGTTGCAGCAGCACGCGAAGAACGGCGGCGTCTTGTCCTACGGCCCACCCACTCCGCCAGGGGGTCAGCAGCCCCCGGTGGCGAGTTCGGCGCCCCTGCACCATGGACCTCAAATGGGCGGCCAGCCAGGACATCCGACGCACTCTGCTCATCCGCCGCACCATGGACACGCGCCCTTTGGCTATCACAATGCCTTCGGGTTCGCCCAGGGTCATGGGTATGGACACCAGGAGGAGGCGGCGGGCAATTACCTCAACTCGATGCACCAGATGGTCGAGGCCAATCAATTGCAGCCCGGCGGCTCGGGACCAGCTCCACCAGCCCCGCTGCCCCCCAGTTCCTTCGGCAGTCATCAGCAGCACTTGGCCGCTCTGGCGGCTCAGGCGCAGGAGCAGCAGAATCAGCACTCCAAATATGGCAAGTCATCCCCCACTGGAGCGGGACCACCTCCCCCACCTCCGCCCCAATCGTCGGTTGGCTATTTCATGGAGTCGCAGACGGCGCCTGTTGGCCCAGCGCAGATTGGCTACGACGAGCGTTCAATGTCCTCGGCCAGCGATTTGGAGGAGGACGACGATGATGCGGCAAAGTTGCAGCTCGACGTGACCTCGCCGCCCACTCCGGCGCCACGTGGTCCGCTGGCGGGCAAGCGCAAGTCCGCCGGCATCTTCTGTGATGATAATGAGCCGAAATTAGCCAACGGTCAGTTGGGGGGCAATTACGGCATTCGGGCTCGCAGCCTCGAGGAGGTGCACCATCATCAGCAGCAGCAGCAGCAGCAACAGTCGCATCACCAGCAGCAGCAGCAGCAACTGCAACAACAACAGCAGCAGCAACAGCAGCAGAACTTTCAGCATGACTTTCGCAACAACAACGGCAACGGAAATCCCAGCGGCAACAGCAACAGCAACAACAACAATGGCAACTCTGGCGATCACGGCGAGCGTTTGAATGCGGACAACGACAGTTTGGTCAACGGCAGCTGCGCCTCCAGCGAGGATCTCAACCAGACGAACAGCAGCGAGCAGGGCGAGAAGATCACATCCGGCAGCGACGACGAGGGTGAGTACAGATCCCTAAACAGGGAGGCTATTGGTATACTCTATATACCTCTGATAAAAATAGGAAAATAAAAATTTTGAAAGCAGATCCCTTAGAAATATTATCAGTAAAATTTTAAGGTATGCCACTTTAAATTAGTATTCAAATTAACAAAGTTATTGGCAAGCCTTACAAAACTTTAAAAATATCTAACAAAAAAAAATTGTTCAAAAAAGTACTAAGATAAACGAAATCCTAAGAGCATACTAAGAGTGTATTGACTTAAATTCGATATCACAAATATTTTAATTAATCTGTAACCTCTTGCTTTTAAATTTGTTAATTTGGGCAGGTCAAGACGATAACTGCGCGAAGAAGAAGCACCGCCGGAACCGCACCACCTTCACCACTTACCAACTTCACGAGCTCGAAAGAGCCTTCGAGAAGTCGCACTACCCCGATGTCTATTCCCGCGAGGAGCTGGCCATGAAGGTGAACCTGCCCGAAGTCCGCGTCCAGGTGAGTCACCTCTTCAATCCCCCCCGTTATCTGTCCTCTTTAGCCAGTATCTCCTGTATCTGCGAGTGATTTACACCCGTACCTCGGCTAATTGTGCAATCAACGTGTCTGCAGCTAGAAAAACCACCAGCCAGGCTCCGGAAATTAAATAATTTCCGTTTGCTATTTATTTTAACGAAATTAAGTCGTTCCCGCTGTTTATCATCCCCTTGCATCTTAGGCTCTTGTTAGATATGGATATATATTTCGACTTGTTTACGGGAATATAAAGCAAAGGATCTTTAATAAACAGGGAGTAAAATATTTGCATTGAACAAGGACTGCTAGTTATTGAGCAACTACCATTTCAAATTAAACTCTATAACTCCTTTTATTTGCATACAGAAAATCATTGAATTTCCAAACAAAAAATTGTATACAATTTTTAATTAAGTTGTAAATCTAAATGTACTAAAACCATTTCTTCATAATTTCTAGTCGAATGATATAGTGGAGTCCAAAACATTTTAAGTACCTTAATTTTGCAACAACTCTTTTAGTCATTTATGATTTTCTTACCCCTGTTCTGGCATTCAGCTCCCCCTCAAGACCAATAATAATTGTCAAACTTTGCGCATAACTTGCCTCCGAGTGCATGGAACAATTTATGTCTCAATAGCAAAACGACAGCGCCGAAAGAGTTCTCAAGTTGGTCGGTGGCCCATTCAATGAGTTTCCTTTTCTTCCTCGGAGAGAATTATGCATTTTATGCGACTGTGCGCCTTTTATGCTCAAAGACACTGAGGCAGTGGCAGTGGCAGTGGCAGTGTGGCGATGTGGCAGTGTGGCGATATGGCGGGATGCCATGTCTGGCAGCCATTCGTTTCGGGTGGCAAATTGTGACGTGAACGGGCAGGGCGCCTCGTAAATTCCATTCACAGCGGTGTAGCATAAAATACGCTTAACCAGCAGCAAATATCGATGGGCGGCAGTGGGTGTTACACAATCAAAAATTATGCTAAAAATGGTAAATCACTTGTAGTTCTAAACTGTTTTGCTGGATCCTGCAAGGTTCGACACTTAAGAACTTCAAATTATCAATTCATCATCTTCAAATGTAAATATTGTTCTTGTCTCTTAAGAAAACGAACTTGGGAATTATAAAGTCGTAATAGCGTATTGAAACGTTTGCTTATTTATTTTTTTCTTCTTCATTTTTTCTTTAATAAATTAAATCTTGAAGCTTTTACATACAATATTTACTCAGCACCTTATCGGGTGTTTACTGTGTAGTTTATGTTAGAGGAATAGAACTCTAACTCCAGTTTTTGGCTGCTGCTGGAGTGGACCATTCGATTGGCATAGTTTTCCAACCGCAGAAGTGGGAGTGGGTGAATGGTTGAGTAGGGAGCAAGTAACCTCCCCCGGTAAATGCAAAGGACATATCAAATTTCACGATTTCGTTTCGTTTCCTCAGCCGACAAATCATTTTTATTGACTAAACATTATCGTGCCCACAGCACACCACAAAGTTGGCGACACTGTCGTCGGCGTCTCCAACACAACACGGCACATAAATAAATAAACAAATACCGAAAATGCCGTATGTATTTATAGGAGTAGTATCTGTATTCTATAGCCCGACCGACCGTACAAACGGAATACAAAAGTAATGAAGCGAAATCGCATAAAAATTTTGTGCTTCTGGGCCTGGCCCTCATGTGTCACTTTGTCAAATTGACACGAATTCAAATTATGCCAGCAGGAACCGAAACGAGCTCTCCAACCCTTTGACTGGTTTTTTCGATTTAGTGGGGTGCACCATCTACCCAACTCCCCAGCTCCCCCGCTCTGCGTCCTGCGTCCTTCGTCCTGTGTGTTTGTAATCGTATTTGCGGTTAGTTTGCATGAAGTTCTAGTTATCGTTTTTACTCCTTTCCTTCCTATTTTTTTCGAGTCTCGTTTCTTTTGCTCTTTGACTGGGCCTGGGAAATTGCTTGGTGTGCAACTCGTTGAAGGTGGAAATTTGTTTTGATTAAGTTTGCTCGCACACATTCACCCGCCCAACTGCTAACACACACATAGGCTGGCCAAAAAAAAAAAAGCAAAAAAAAGTAGAAAATGTAACCAAAGTTGACTGAGTTGTTTCTTTGCAAAACCAGTCAGCCATCCACCAAATAGAATTTCTCGTTCAGATGAGTTCATTTCAGGGTTTTGCTTTGGTCGCCCACTTTTCGTCGGTTACGTTTTTGGTTGCTGTCATTGCATTGTAATAGATTTGTTAAATGTTTGTTTAAAAAGTTTGATTGGATTTTGCATTTTGTGTATGGCAATGGAATGAATTTCTCTGTGGCTTGTTTGATTGTTGTTTAAATGGCAATATACGTTGACAGACGAGGCCCCGAACAATGCAAGTGCAATTGAAATTGTGTCATTTTGTGGTTTTTCCTGGCCCAAAAACAGGGTAAGAGCCGAAGAGGCAGGCAATATTAAACAAGGGTTTGAGCAGACTAAGCTCGGGGATTATCGTTGATGGTAACCAAAACAAAACGCGTTAAGCCAGCAAATTAAACGGCAGATTAACGCCCCAGAAAAAAAAAAAACGTATAGCCAGACGATCATTAACACTTGCCATGAAAATGTATCGTTTCTTCCCCTAAAACACTGAAACACTGAAACCCTGAGAGCCGCAACATATGTCCTGCGAGATGACAATTACTTTTGTTTGGATTACCGGCTGACAGGGCTGAGTGTGGTTTTTTTTTGCCCTCCTTCTTCGTGAGGGTTGTCTGGCGCCCAGTCAAGGGTTAAAGCTGGCAGTCGACTCAATCATACGCCGCATTAAGCCGAAGGGCCAAAAGAGTTTAATTAAAACCTAATTTGCCATGGCCGAGCGCAGAAAATCGAACGGAGATGGATGGAGTTGGAAAGGAAGAAAGATATTATCTTTATATATTTTACTGACTAAAAGGGATCTCCTGCATGTCTTGGTTTAGTTAGGCAAATAAACATGACTATTTCCATGTGCAACGACCATTTTTATTGGGTTTATTAGCAGCAAAAATAAACAAAGCAAAAAAGAGACGAGGGCAGAAGTTTGTGTCAATTATTTTGCATAGTCAAATGATTAAATATCGTAAACCTGTCAAAATATCCTGCGCCAAAGTAAATAATAATCCTGTGTAATAGTTTATTTATCTGCATATATTGCTCATACGACATATGTGACGTGACACAGACAGCCCGAAGCATTTTCTCCACATATATCCGTGAGTGAGTGCGAGAGTGGATGTGGATGTGCATAAACAGCAAACAAATAAAAATGTCATTTCACTAACAAATAAAATAGATTTTTATTGCATTCACATTCCACTTTGGCCTGCGTCTTTTGCCCTCGCCTTTGGATTTGAGCCGGAGCTTGAATACGGATTTCCCTCCTCGACATTTCCACATTTTTATGCTCATTTCGTTCTGGTTTCTGCTCCGATTATTTTTTATTGAATATTTACTTCAACTTTGGCATTCGTTTGCTTGCATGACCGTTTTATCGACAACTGCCCTCCCTTCTCTTTTACTTCCTTCGATTGCGACTCCTACAACGCTTTCGTTTTCACATGCCATAATAATAATGCATATTAGGTTCATTTGTTTAGAGCCGCTCTTTGCCCCCAGCCCCATGAAATCCTATACAAATCTAATAATGAAAACGATCGCTGGCCCGACTGCCAAACAAGCCCGTTCATCGCCATCGTTGGCAACTTGAGTGTCCTGTGCGGGTCATCAAATCGAATGAATAAAGCCATTGAATGCTTAAGTAGGCTGGTCCCACTGGGTCGTCGAAATGGTGGGGAAAAAAGCTTTCAAACTTATTTAACTTATTGTCGTTGGGAGGTCCCTCCAGGATTTCACTCTCATTGGGGCAAACTTTGGGAGTGGCCGGGTCTTTTTGGACCGTTTATTAGGCACTTGACCTGACTTGTGTCCGTTTTGGCCAGTGTGCCCAGAGCAGTCAACGAACATTTGCATTTCTCCTTCACGGAGCACTCCCGTCGTCATAATTAAATGGCAAATGAAATATGCATCGGACTCAAGCGACAGCTGCCCTCAAGTGCCATTGACGTGGGCGGAGGGTGGGTGTGGGCAGAGCAATTAACACATTATGCCACCTTGGCATAACAACAACAACAACAACAAGGAGCGGGAGGAGCGAACGAAGGCCGGGGAAAACAAAGCCACCGCAAGGGTAAATAAATGTCAGGTCACAAAAAGCAGGCGGGGGTTAGGGGTTTTGCCCTATCCGAAACTTTTGCTTTTGATATATATTTAACTAGGGTCTGGACTTACGCGCCTGTGTTACACATCTGCCGTTTATTAAAATGTATTTTGATCAACTGTCAACTAAAACAAAGGAAAAGTTGAGGCAAACCTTCAAGCACTTGATATGAGACGGCCAATTTCGATGACGCGGGTGAGGTTTACAAATTACCGAAATGGGGGTGTTCATATATGCTGGGCAAACTTTAGTTTTTATCAAGTATCAGTGGAAAGGGAAACATATAAATATTTGCATAGGTATTAATAAACAAAAAAAAATAGATTTAATTCTACAGAACAGTGAAATCCTTTATATAATATAAGTTCTGTAATATATAAACGATTTTGTATTGCTGTAATTTTAAAAGTAGTGAGACAAGTTTGTAAAATCATAAATGAAAGGATTTTATAATGCTGTAGACTTTGTAGTAGTGAGAATATTATGTAAGTTGTAAGTTGATCAAAAGTAAACAAGATGTCTTTAAATTAAATAAAATTTAAAAATATATTTAAAAGCTGCTGTAATCTCATATAAATATGTTCCGCTTATTAAGAGATTAGCGAACAAACTTGCTAACCATAAACATTATAGGTTCATTTCTAATTGAAGACAGTTGACTAAGCTCCAGAAGGGGTTCGGGATTGGGGGAAACCCAAATCGGGACTGCCACAGAAGTTTGCCGCTTTCAATTAACCCTCATTAGAAG